ACATAAGGGCTGATATCTGAAATGAAGGCTAATTAGCGAACATCTAGATGACCAAAATTTATTTTAAATTTATTGTAATATGCTGTCAGCCTCTTGTTATTGCGAAATGGCGTTGGATTTGGAAGAACAAATCTGACGTCTTCTTTCTCCACGAGAGCAATATTAGGAACAGTGGGAAATACGAAACACGAGGCACCTATTTTGTTAATTTTGCGCGTTTTGACCTCTACTTCTGAATTGTTGCACGATACAAGTTCCACGTAAAATATATTTTTGGACTTCTTTGAATCTCACTAAAAGATAGTCACCCTCTATAGGTCACGATTGCAGTGAAATGCTTCATTATCCACTGGTCTCTCTCGGCTTCCTATTAACTTTTCTTGCCTTGGCCTTACAACATCTCTGGTGAAATGAAATTTTTATTTTCCTTGGTAGTTCTAGAGAATGTCAGGACTTGGGTCTGGAGGAACAGAGGTTACAGCCGATGGTCTTGGAAGGACGTTATCGAAGGGCTCCTCTTCTACAATTTCCATAGGACGATCTGTCACTGCCTATCCAAGAAAGTCGCTCTCTCTTAAAACATTTGATTGGAGAGACCCTGTTCCCTGTTTTTTCAAAGCCTGACCGAATATTTTGAAGTACGAGAGCTTTATCGTGTGCTGTACCAACCAACTCAGCGATATTGTATATTGTGATGGGCGCTCCTGCATGATTCAGTAGCCAAGCCTCACATGTAGCTTTATAATATGACTTGAAAGTCCCAAAGACAGCCACATCCAAGAGCTGGAGTTTGTTACTACAATGTGGGGGCAACGTCAAAATATATACACCTGCTTCTGGAGCCTTCATGATTACTTCCACTGTGACGTAGCTCTCGTGGTTATCAAATATGAGCAGCGACGGATTTTCTTTGAAAGTGCTGCTGTTTTTGATAAAATGTTCTAATACTTGTAAAAAAAGTTCTGCTGTCATCCAGCCTGAAGGGTTAGCTAGTCCTAAGGTACCACGAGGTGCTCCATTAAGCATATGCTCTTTAAAGAATTTACGTGGAAACACCATCACTGGTGGACAGTATGTGCCAAGGGCGGATATTATACAACAAGTGGTAACTAGTACACCATGTTCTCCACTAGGGCAGCTATTTACTTGTTTAATGCCTTTTTCAGTCACAACTTTTTTGGGGTCGTGGACAGTTTTTGTGCTAGTCTCATCAAGATTAAACATACGTGAACTCACAATTAAAATAGGATATTTGTTTAGGATGTTTTGAAGATTATCCAAAAACAGCTGAACGTTGTGTCGGCTGAAAGAAGTTAAGCGTGCTTAACTTTTTTCTTTTCATAAATGCACGAAGCCAGTCGGTACCGGCCATTCTACGTTCTGTCCATGATTTTGGTACCTTCAATTTGTTTACTTTAACTACATCAAATGCGATGTGTCTTACAGCTACGGTGGTTAGGCCGTACACCATATTACTGCAAGTTTTAATGTAGTTATACAGAATATCTTCCTGTTCATCTGTAAAAATTTTGTTCACCGAATAATTTAGTTGCATAATGCTAAATTTTCAGGATGATTTCTTTTCTTCTGCACATATTTCTGAACCAATTTGACATCAAATTGTTGTGCGGCTTGTCTTAACGAACATATTCCATCAATGACAGCATTAACAGCATTGAACATCTTATTAGCATTGGACATCTTATTTTGGAAGAAAAGATAGAAGGAAAACGGGGCATCGGATGAAAGAAATACTCATGTCTTAAAAACATAAGGAATTGGACAAACCTCGATGCCCATGCTCTCTTTAGAACCACACAAGTTCGAGAGGAGTATGCCAGAATTGTCGCCAACATCCACTAATTGCATAGGGCACCATAAGAAGAAGACGAAGGACGTCTGTTTAGCAGACGTCTTGCCAATTTTACGCGGAACATTCAGTTTTCTAGGCATCTGCAACAAAAACGGTAGGTATCATTATATTCAGGTAATTGTATTAATATTCACTTGTGGTAGGTACACAGTGAGACAGTCCCACTATGTACCAGTAATGTGCTCACTGTGTCTCACTGTGTGCTGTTGGACGTTATTTTGAGATTTACCATTCTAAAAAAGTACAAATTATAAGTTATAAACAACAACGTACCTTGTTCACAACACCTGATGCGCCAATATTCAGCTGAGATCACTCAATAACTGCTTATAGTTTCAGCAAAATATTCCTTTGAATATTGGTTTATACTATCAAGAACACGTTTTAGTTAAACACATTTACACTATACGCCATATTGCAAAAATAACAATAGTAGTGACATATGTGATGTAATAGCCTTCCTTAGTAAATTGGAGACACTATCTCTCCCAAACTATTTACCCTTGCTCTAGAAGATACTTTTAAGAAACTGGAATGGAACAATAAGGTATCAACGTCGACAGATCATACGTAAACCACTTGAGATTCGCAGATGACATAGTTTTAATAGCCGATAATATCCAAAAACTAAATGATATGTTACAACAATTAAATGCAGTTTCAGGAGCGGTAGGCTTAAAAATGAACTACAGCAAAACAAAAACACTGAGCCGAAACTATACAGATATAACAATACAAAATCATACCATAGAAAATGTTAAACATTATGTATATCTAGGTCATGTTATTAAACTAGAAAAACCAAATCAAGATGCTGAAATTAAAAGAGAACACAACTAGCATGGGGCGCTTTCGGCAAACTAGCACATATCTTGAAAAACACCTCCATTCCTATAAACTTAAAGAAAAAGGTGTATAACACATGCATACTACCAGTTTGTACCTACGGCTTGGAGACAGTAGCCCTTACCAAAAAATCTGCTAAAAAATTAGAAACAACGCAAAGAGCAATGGAACGAATCATGCTTGGAATATCACTAAGAGACAAGATTAGAAACACCGAGATAAGACGTAGAACGAAGATTATGGATATTGTGGAAGAAATTACAAAAATGAAATGGCGCTGGGCAGGTCACGTAGCCCGATATAATGGCAACAGGTGGACACGGAGAATTCTAGAATGGAGACCAAGGACGACAACAAGAAGCATGGGAAGACCTCAAAAAAGATGGGTAGAGGACATAAGAGCAGTGGCAGGCAAACAGTGGATTAGATTGGCACAAGATAGAGAAAGATTGGGAGAGACCTACATTCAGGAGTGGATAGAAAATGGTTGACAAAGAAGAAGAAGTAGATTGGCGAAGCAAATGGAAGAAAACATATGAATTTAAATTGGTTGTCTTACTGTGTACCGCGTCTCATTGTGTATCACCTTCCACCATATACCTTTTTTTTTATTAAATTTAATAAAAAGATATTTTTTAAGATTTTTTTTGTTTGAAATCGTACCGTTTCATTGAATCACCTCGTAGACTGAGTAATAAGCAATTTGGATTTAGAGATGGTCTAGGAACTAGAAAGGCACTCGTATGCGCGTTCTCTTACAAAAAGTTGTGAGTTCCGAAACAACGTTTATGTTTGTTTCAAAGACTTCGAGAAGGCATTCGACCGAGTACAACACGATACACTTTCGATTGCTTGCGGGCAGAATAACGCGACCTCTTCGATATAAGACTGCTAAAATACTTATATTACAATCAAGTAGCCTCTATTCCAATTGTAGATATTCGTACTGAGAAACTACCCATCAAACGTGGAGTACGACAAGGTTTTGTTTTGTCAACCAGCCTTTTTAATCTATACTTAGCTTGAAGAAATGTTTAGAGAGGTTTTAGATGACAGACAAGAGGGAGTAAGACTAGGCGGAGAAGTAGTCAACAATATCAGATACAGCCGTTCTTGCAGAAAATTTACAAGATCTCCAGCCATTTTAGTGAATCTAGTCAATGAAGCAAGTTATCGAAGATGCCTTGAAAATTAACATTTCAAAGACAAAGTTTATCCAAGGTGGACAATTAAAGCTATTCGATAATTCAAGTAAGCAATAGAAGAATTCAGTAAGTAGTTTATTTCGGTTGTAGAATCAGCAATAAACTCGATTAGAAGTCGAAGAGAAGGCGTTCTACATAATTAAGTGAAGTGGTGACGTATCGCCAGTATTTTACATTGTATAATTCAGGTCTAAATCACAGAACATTTATAAAGGTATATTTTCTGGAATCAACTCCAGGTTCGATTTCTCTTATAATAAATCAGACTTTTGATGAGTTTCTTGCATACTGAGTCATACCGATACTGACGTTTAGTTACCTACAGCAAATATCTGATAGTCCCCTGTAAAATATTGAATGGTTTTTCAACCTGATATCTATATCGGTATTTGTCACTATGTACGTCAGGATCTTAAACGATATATTTCACATAGGTTTTTAGTCATTGAATGATACAAAACCTTATTCCAATCATGTTTTTTCTTAAACGATTTAAATTAAAACATGGCTAGGCGTTCGTCATAAACCTAATAATTACGTAGGTACGTTATTAAAATATTAGTAATTATTAAGGGTAAGGCACCCATGGTACAATGTACCTACTTATAATTATTGTACGATCTTTTTTAATTAATAAATTTTCTATCAATATTTCAATTTGTGTTGTTCTGGAATTTCTCCAAATGGTCTAACGACTTTGTACAGGTAGAATTTATAATACCATTTGGCTATTGAAATCTGAAAATTAAAAAATTAACGGTAATTAAAGCAGGTAGAAGAAAAATCGGTATATAATGGGTATTTCAAGAAGGGATACTTTTGTTTTACTTTACATAACAGTATTATTTTATGTAGTGAAAGTTACTCATTTCATTACTCATTATAAAATTACTTTGTATTTTTAAACTCGACTTTAGAACTGTTAATAAATACACGACCTGCCAAATAGTGCGCAAGTAAATACGAACATCATACTGGTAACTCAACTGGTTGACTATATGGGATGGATGATTTATAGGAACAAACAAAAACCAACTTATCAGACATACATCATTGATTTTTATTTTTGAGGTTAGGTAAAATGTGTATTAAGGTTTTTTAATTTTTAAAAATTGAATATAAGAAAGAAAAAATGGAGATAGATCCCGACTATGCAGCCAATAGCAAAGCTTTGCGAACTAAAGAAGAGAAAAATAAAGAAGGTATGTGCATTGTAAAATTAAATTTTTAACTTTAAGCTACGTCTAATTTTTTGTGTATTTGTTCCCATAAAGTCGGAATTATTCAATATTTGTATACATGATTGTATTTAGGACAATGTTTTGGTAGAATTATTAGTATTTTCATGTAAGAAACCGCATTTATTCTTTGCAATTTACTCGAAATTTGGCATTTGTTTTAATTTTTAATCCGGGTGTCAATTATACTTAATTACAGTAAACTTAATGTTTATTGGTAACTTAAACATTTTTGTTTCAAATTGTTTTTAAAAGATCTTTTTGAAATTTAACAGCCTCCTTTGAATCTATTGTCATTCTAATAAATATTATTTGTATACAGCTGTAATAAAGTAATAAAAAATGTTTTTATTAGGTATTTTATGATTATTTTATTTTCTGCTAGTAAATTTATTTTTTTTAAACACCAGTGTTTTATCCATACATTTAAATTTTTATTTTGCATATAATTCACTTCATATATTTTTCTCAATGTTTCTATCCCTTCATATCCCATAAAATTCATTCATTAAGAAATCTAGATTTCCTTTACTTTTCCTAGTTTTTATTAAATTATTTATTGTTAATGTATCTTTATTAGTATATTACTTACTTTTTAAATATAGTTAAAATGTTTCTATAAAATTTATATACCTTCTTGCCATATGCTTAATTATTTATTTACTTTTTTTAAAATATGTTTCTATTACTAAAAAATAATAAGTCATCTTGTTGTTTCGTTAAGTGTTATCTCTATAGCTTTTGTTTTGATGGTCTTCACTTGCTTCCTAGTTTCTTTAATAGTTAGAAATAACTACTAATGGTTAAATCTTTCAAAAGTTTGGTATCAAGGTTTTTTTTAATATCTCAGTAACATGCATTTTTCATTTTTTTTTTCTAAAAATGTGCTGTGAAATAGATTTTCAGAATTAGCTTTTTTTATATTTTGGATGTTTTTGAAACATAAACAAACATTTATATTGTATGGACTAAAAAATGCCTAAACATAGAAAATTTACTGGTCTTACATATTTTACAACTATACACGTACCCATCACTATCACTGTAATTTTGCCTTTTATTAACTTGTAATAATATTTCATGAATAAAGGACAATTTATGCCGCCTAACACAAACGCAAGAGCTGGAAATTTCTGACTCAGACCTAATTGTCAATGATTAAAAGTTAGAAGCAGTCAAAGAGTTCTTATATCTAGGGACATCAGTTAACCCCAACACATCAGGGGAAATAAAAAGGGGAATCATAATTGCAAACAGGTGTTATCATGGTCTATCAAACTACTGAGCTAACAAACATCTGTCTCACAAAACTCGTTTAAGTTTAAACTCTATTAGAATGGAATATGAAGGCATAGATATAACTTTGAGCTGCAGAATTTCTACAAGCTTAAGTTTGGTGGAAATGATATTACCACTATAATCAAGCAAAACCGTCTGCAGTAGGTAGGATAGCCCGGGCCAAACATGATTTAAAAGATTCTAACAGCACAAGAGGTGGGAATGTGAAGACAGGTAGACTGAAGCTGAGGTGAATAGACAGGGTAACACAGCATCCTGAGAAGATTGCTGTGGCCAACTGGAAAATCCAAGCAAGGGACAGAGCAGAATGGCCCAGAAAGCTTGAATAGCCCTTTAAAGGCTGTAGCATCACGATGACAATGATGAATAATATTTCATAAAACAGTACAGGAAGAATGAACCTGTCAATTAGTAAACTTAGTTTTATTACAACTTTATTATTATTTCTTTTCACTATACCTTATATTAAAAGTTTTGAATTATCATCTGTTAAAAAGACTAGTAATGGTAATTGTGATCCTTGTGGCTCTCCTCTATAGCAGATGATAAGTTGTATTGATTTGTTTGTTAGGAAATTGAATAGGATATTCAGTTGTCTTCAGCCCTTTTCTTCTCTTTTAACTCTTACACTATTTGAAAGCTTTCAGTTATTTCAATCATAAATATTGTAAGCTGAGTACAAGAGATTTATAGCATGATAATTTTCACATTCAAGCTTGTAACTTGTCCCTATTTAATTGCTAGGAATTTTCTCTTTATTCCATATCTTAGTTACCAAATCATTTACTGCTAGGTGTTGAGCAACCTAATTTAAGCAATTCAGATGAAAGATTATCGATTTCCTGTGCCTTGTTTTTTGTGCAACATATTATTTGTTTGACTTCTTAAGAGTCAGTATCCAATCATTTTATACCTTCCTCCCCATGCCTCAATCTCAGGCTAGTCATTTTTTATTTTTCGACCAGAGCTTGTAAGTGGGTTTTCCAAATTGATTTTTTACTTATGTTAGTCTACTAGTTATTTGTGCTTCTTAGTTTCTACGCAGACAGTGTTGGTTTTTGTATTATCCTCTTAAATATTGGATGTATATTTTGCTTGTTTAACTTTCTCAATCTCATCAATTTTGAATTGTTTTTGTCTTGTTCATATTTTATTTATCTTCTATTAAGTATGATTACTCAAAACTTTCAGTCTTTGTTTATGCCATTTTTTCCTGAAAGTCATTTATTATACCACTGGTCATACATACTTCAGCTAAATGGCTGATTGTATAGGTATCTTCCATTTATTTATCATACCCATTTCAGACTTAAAGAAACTGTTACTTGCTTGTAGAGGTCTAGTTAATGGATACCATATGTTTGTGGAATCAGTAGTTGCAGTTGTATAAAATCTCAAGTTTGCTGCCACAAAGTCTGCTGCTTATGTCCCCATGAAATAGTTTGCTATTGTTTGCAGGTGTCCCTTGACTAGAGTATTTCAGTAAGGCAGGTTGTTGTCTCTTTGGGTGTGACGACGAATATTTTACTTTGCAACATAAGAAGTACAAAAGTAAATTGCTCTAATAATTATTCCAATAAAAAGGATCTAAAAGTTTGATGTAATTAACTACTGATTCTAAGTCAAAAAGGCTGAGACATGTTTTAGATGTAGATAACTTACTTTATATTTAATCTACATGCTTATTTTACTGCTGTGAAAACCAATTGGGGCCCTTTGCTACTAGTTATGTTTGTCCTTAAAACAGTTTTTATAACGAAACCTAAAGTCAGTTTTGCAAAAAGCAAAAAGTGGAGAAAGTGAACAAAACATCGCACAAAACCCCGCTGACACCCAAAGACTGTTGATCTTCCCGAATATTGCAAATTTGAAATCCACGAGACTTATAAGAAATACGTGAAAAGAAAGAACATGTAAATTATACATACCTTTGAACATCGTGTGTTAAGACGTATATATTTGAGGATGTGCATAACCATATTGGATACAAGGGTTACAATGACGAGGCCGTTTTGGAAACTTTGAAGTAGTTTCTGCAATGTGTTGTTCTTCTGAGGCCAAACCTGTATTGTTCTTTTGTATTGTAATTTAAAAATAACAGATTGGGCAGCTGTACTAAAACCCCAAAAAGGAAGACCATATCAAAGATGAGACTCGAAAAAACAAAAATATGTTATTTTGGAAGATGCTAAATTGATATCGATATGAAGGAACGATTTAAGGTTGATGTCTATAAAAATACCAATAAATTTTATAGAATCAATTATACTGATCTGACTGTTATTAGGAAGCAAAGGTTGAAGAGCTCCTTTATAGGATAATGCTACTGACTTATTTACATTAAAAGAGTAAATCAGAGTCGGACCAGGTTTTTATTTTAAGTAGATTTTTTTAGAAGTTATAGTTGCATGAAGAGTTACAATATTGGTCGAGTTGCAAATCATCGACGCAGCTCAAAAAACATATTAAAACGTAATAAAACACCAAAATATAAGACTATATTTTCTAACTGGTTGCGACCTAAAGTTGTGTATCATAGCACCCTCGGATCGGAACAGCTCTGCGTTCACTTAAATAGTTAATATTCGTGGTCTTTAGAGTTTCATTCTAGAGGTAGTAGCTGCTTCATATAATTATATATTAGACATATTTGAAAATATAGAAATATGTGAACATTAGTTTGGATTTAGGCAAGACAGATAAACAATACATGAAATTCTCATTATAACTATTAATATTATTTTTATTATTATACAATGATATCGAGATAAAAGTAGAGCTTGTATGGCCCAAATTACAAAATATTTGTAGGTACTAAACTAAATATCAGACATCAAATAAAAAACAAACAAAAATTTCCTAATAATATCTAATAATAATAATAGCTATTTTTTTAAGCGTTCTTCTTCTTCTTGAAGTTTTTTAGAGCCTCTTGCATAGCTGCTATGGCTTTCTTACCGGGAACTTTCTTGGCATCCTTTGCGTCTTTGGCATCCTTCTCTCATCATCTCCTTTGCCCTTCTTCTTCTTTATGCTCTTCTTATGACCATCTTGGTCATCATCTTCTTGTCTATCATCCTTGTCTTTTGATTCAGCTTGCTTTTCAGCCCCTTGGATTGCTCCTGGTGTTCAGCAGGCTCTTCAGAACCCTCCTTAGGTACGTCTTGCTTTTTCTGTGCAAATTTCTTTTGTTTTTCTCTCTATTTCTTTTCTTTTTTCTTTTGTGCTGCGATTTTTACTGTGCTGCCCTCTTCTGGTTTTGAATCTTCTTCAGCTTCTTTAGCTTTTGGTTCATCCATTTTGTCTTTTTTCTTTTCCTTCACTTTTTCTAGAGGCTTTTCCTCATTGTTCGGTTCAGGTTCGTTCTTAATACCTGCATAATATCCAAAAGTATTAGTACTTAGAAAAAGTTCTTGCGGTAATAGCAAATTAAATACAAATATTACAAAGTATACATACGATTACAATGATATTTATAGCAATGAAAAGAAATCATATCAAATATATACGTACCACTTTAACAGTTAAAAAAAAAACAAAAAATACAAACGATATACAAATGTTATAGTTAACAAGACTAGGTAGAATATCCTGTTAGCTTTCATCAAACTTGTTTTTGAAACTATTTAAACTACTAGATTCTACTATGTCATCACTTAAACTATTCCATTTATCAAAAACTCAGTTAACTAAAAAGTTTTGCCTTACATAGGTGTTAAAAGACTCTTCATTAATCATCATCTTCGTTAATATTAAAAAAGGTTTGATGTTCTCTAAAAATCCCCCTTAATAATACTATAAGTAGATATGACATCACCTCTTTCTCGTCTATGAGGTAATGGAGACAACTTGAGCTTTCTTAGTCGAGTTTCATAGTTTAGTCTTTCATAATTAAAAGGTCCCATAAAGTCCCTTTGCAAATGCGGTGATCAAACTGACACTGCAAATTCTAGGTGAGGTCTGACATAAATTTTGTAGAGTTTCTAAAATAAGTCTGGTGACATTATATGAAAAGCTTTTTTATATAAAGTATTATGCAGTGTTCGCTTTACTAACTACTTTTGCTGTTTGAGTAGACCAACTTAATGTTTCGTTGACTATAACACCAAGATCATTAACTTTCTGTACCGATTTCAGAGGAACTCCATCAAAAAGAAAATGTTGTATATGGATTATTATATTCATAGTGAAAGACACGACATTTACACGTATTTATTGGAATAGCCCATTTTATGCTCCATTCTGATAGCTGGTTAAGGTCATTCTGAAGAGTATTAACGATATATGGACAGTAATATAACCTTAAATCATCGGCATATGAAACCGATTTTGACTATCATTCACACATTAAATCAGATACATAGAAAAAAACAGAGTAGGCTTTAATATTGATCCCTGGGAGACCACTGGCTACTGCACGTGGAACACTACAGTCATTTTCCTCTTTGACCTAAAAAGTTCTTTCAGAGAGGAAGTTTTCTGCCCACAATAACAACTCACCACGCATACCGTAATGTAGCTTCAACATTAATTTTTTAAGTACCGTATCAAATGTACGGGAAAAATCTATATAAATAATACCAATCGGCTCATATGGTCCAAAGAGAAAGTCCATTCATTAAGAGCGAGAAGGAGGTTGCTAGTTACAGAACGATTTGGCCGAAATCCGTGTTTGGAGACTGGAATAACACTGTGCTCTAACCAAAAGGATACTAATTTATTATAGTCCAAAGTCAGTAGGATTGTCAGGGTATCGCTTTAAAATGATAGACACTGGAGGGGCACCAAACGAGAGACGAGTGTACTTCAATGGTGGCGTGTACATTTTTAACATAAGCGAAATCATTGTGAGGACTAATTCGAAAGGAACCCTTTACATTAGACTTCTTTAAACGTACTGATATTGGAATAATGATCTTATCTACCTATTGATATTTTTAAAATAAAATTCTTATTCAAATATAAATACCAACTGCTTTACAGAAAATAAGAATAGACCCGGTAGCCTTAATGTTAACCTTAATTTTGAGAAACAAACTTGCCATAATAATAAAGTTATTAGGTAAGTACGTACAATATTATAACCTCGTAGGACGAAGAACTACTGTCTTCTCCTGGAGTAATAATAATGGGACCCTTCTGCGACAATATTAACTCTTTTGTTAGCATATTGCAAAATTGTCGATGAATACGTATATTTTCATCAGATGGAGTTTTCCTTACCCTTTTTCATAAAATGTTTTTTCTTTACTCATTGTGATCAGTCGACTATCGATCCAAGGGTTTCTGGGATTAGTTCTAAGGGTTCTTGAAAAACATGTATCTATTTCTTTATATATAATTTCTTTATATTTATTCCAAAAACAGTTACGTGAATAACCATCTAAATTCGGAAAAATTACTTCGCTAAAATACTGATCTAATTTAATATAAACTATTTTACTATTTTTTCATTGATTTCTCCAGTAATGTCCAATTGAGCTTGTGTCTGAAGAACTATATGATCCGAAATACCTATTGTTGAAAGATAATGAATTTCACTGATAAGTTCTTCCTCATTACGGAATAATGCAGCTAATGGAAAAGTATAGGAAAAAATAAACACATTTTCACTATTATTAAGTAATTGTTAAAAATTATGGAAAGTGATTATGTTAAAATTGTGAAATATGTACGATGATGTAACAACTAGTATTTTGACCGACGTAAGAGATGCTAGTACAATTTATGTGAGACTGGGAATGCATAATAGTTCTGTACTAGGTTCCTAAAATATATTCCCATTATTAGAGAATTAAAGCAAAGAGAACACTAATGTATGACTTATTTCTTTTGCTTTTTTCAGAAACGCAACTGACAGAGGAAATACTTACCAAGACCCTCAATGACATATTTGATGAGGAATTATCAGCTAGGGAAAAACAGTTAGAGGAACTTGAAGAAAAAATTTTCAGAGCGCAAAAGTTGTTACACGTAGTACGTTATGCTTTAGTAAATTCTTACTACAAGAAAAATAATTTGGAAATATCTCCTGATGATGAAACTGTAACTGCAGGTAATTTTCAGATTTTATTATTATAGTATACCGTTTACTATAATATCTCTTGGAATTATGAATTCATCGTTCACTGTGATTACTTTTATATAAAAATCTCATTTCTTTAATTTCTTTATTGTAGTTTGTTATTTATTATGTATTATTATTTATGATATGTAATCTATCTTTGTTTTTGCCTATTGAGGTTATTTTTTTATCACCAACCGTTTTTTTGCCTCAGGTATGTCTATCTGTTCCCGATCATGCATTTTTTGCCTTCCTCTCGTATCCTTTCAGGAACACTGAACGATTGGTTGTCATTTCGACATCGAACATGCCTTAACGGACCTAGCCTGTGCTGTTTTATTTCGGAATCAGTTAGTGCCGCCTCTTCACTGATCCGTCTAAACATTCTCTTTTAATCTATTATTATTTTATTAATGTTTAAGAAAGAATTTATGTAGGGGAAACGTGGGTATACTGAGACGAAAAAATTCAGGTCTCCATATTGTTTTTAAATGTTTTTTTACTGAAGTATGGTGAAAAGACATGACTAGGTTAATTGGTAATACATGTGAACACTTAAAGTACCAAAAATATCGTATAGAAAAAACTTTCACTCAAACAAAATAGTAGGTGCAATTGTCTCACTGTACCCTGTAATTATTATTTAGTCTACCACATAGGGTATTACTATAAGGGGTTGAAAATTGAGGAGAGAAATTACGGGGCTAGAGATAAAGTAAGCAAAACAAACCAGGACGTTTGCGAACGGCTACTCAGGTTTTTTTTTGGAGAGCTGAATCGTGGATAAGTGAATGACAACAAGGGGACTGAAAGGGGGTAACTACCAAAAAAATAAACAAAAAGGGGTGCTTACATGAATCTCCTGGACAAACACAATACACGAAGGTTCTCAAGCTATTTAAAATAAGGCCACCGCTTAGAAAAATCTTTCTGCTGGATGAAAGCAAGGCTCTTCCTTCCTAAACAATATAAAAAAAGGGTTAGAAACTTTTTTTAAAAGAAAAAATACTCCCTTTTTAGAAAAAAAATTACACATTTATTGTTGTTTCACCACAAACATTTACAAATATAAATAATAATAATAAAATACAAAATAACAAAAAACAAACTTACTAGGTTACTATCCGTTTACAAACTGTAGAATTTGGATATACTATAAGAACTTACACTTGCTAATGGGCTAATATTTTGTAGCAGAAATAAATTATTGCAAATGAAAAATGTCTTTTTTAAAGGAACTATGCATAGAGGTTAACCTTAAAAAAAAACAAAATCTCAATTATGACTAGGTATGTACCAAATGTCAAAAATAAAACTAGCTGTCAGATGTCAATATTAAATTTTAAACTTTGGGAATAATTAATATGACAACTTAGCCACACCCTAACATTTATAATTTTGCTAATTAACCTGTTATGAAAGCAATTATTTATGGCAAATGTCTATTTTTTACTTTAAAATTTCAACAAAAAAGTTACATGAATTTCAATAAATGTTATTTTTTTTCTTTAAAAATTTCTGGGGTTAGAACTGGATTTAGATTATCTGCCACACAAACAAATGCATCTCCAAACTGCGAAATAGCCTGGTATGCCAACCAGGGACAAACAAAATGCGGATGGAAGCTGCTGAGCACTGGGACGCAAACTTTGGAACTTGGCTTCTTAAAAACTCAAAATACAATTGGAATGCAACTAGTCACAATGGAATCATGTGTGGAATTTGCCGGTTTCTTAACGCCGACACTCGCGCGTGTTGTCTCAACAAAATCTCTTCTAAACGTGAATTTGACCTTGCCTCAGTCTATGTACCCGGCTTTCACCGTTTCGTCTTACCCCCATGCAAGTCGAAGGGACTAGCGAACCGGAATTTTTCAAACACGCTTCTCATCGTATCGTAACTGACCTTGATCATCCCCAAAATCGCAGAATTAACACGTACACATAGAACCATATTTTTATTACTTTCTTGTGGAATGTGGAATATAAACAGAGACGCACGAAATAATATTTATATATGGCCCAAAGGTATACTAGATAAATTTTATACTTTGAATATTCGATGATTACAAGGAATCTATACATGCTACAACGCTTCCTTGGGGGAACAGTGCGACAACAGTATCTTTTTGATTTATTATTGTTCAAACTAATAGACAGTCTTCTTAAATCGAAATTTATTGCTGTTTTTTAAGACTTGTTACAAAAAGAGAAGAACAACACATTTTGGATCACTCATACATACTTTAAGAAATAATCTCAGTTACTAAATTAACAAAAAAATGTCGCCCTCTTGTGACATGCGGTTCTTTTAATATTGTAACAATTTGATCTTCAGAAATAATACAAATGTCCGTTACATTAGGAAATACAATTGTTTTTTGAACTTTTTCTCATAAACTTCAACAGCCATAATATTGTGTTTTACAGCTTGCCCCACAAAATGATTTTTAACTGTTTTATTTTTGACGTCATAATCAAGTCTAATGAATATGAAATCGTTGACTTGAATCCTTGAAACTATGACTGGATCAACTGTTAAATTGCTAAAAATCTTCTTCGTCATCATCTGAATTTTCAAGGCCCATTGACCTATCTGAATCGTGAACTGAAAATTTTGAAGAAGAGTCATCAGCTTCTATCATTTTTTCCTCTTTGAAACCATTAACCTTTAACAATATATTTACCTTAACAGTTTCAATCGCCGTCTTCTTTACTGTAATTTTTTGTAGCTTGTCTTTCTCTGGTGTATCTGTAGCAATTATTGTCTTTCCCTTTCTTCTTGTTTTGTGTATTGCTGATACGTTGGCTTTCTTTGGATATCCTTGTATAGGCGCTCGGAGATAGACCGCTCCTACAAATGATGCCACATGATATATAGTTGCTGATGTAGCTGGATTAGCTTTATGCCACGAACGTAAGGCGTCATTGTAAAATATATGAAAAGGTTTTTAAAGACCTACATCAAGCGGCTGTCGTTTGTGTGTACAATGGAACTGTCAGGATTGTAACACCATTCTTTTTGCACAAATGAATTCCTTCTATTGAGATGTGACTCTCATGATTGTCCATTATTAAGAGCGAAGGGTTTTATTTTGAACTTAAAGTGTATTTGATAAAATGCTTTAATACTTCTATAAAGCACTGCGTGTTCATCCAGTCGGCTTTCGTAGCCAGTCCTAAGGTGCTCGGAGGAGCTCCTACCAACATATGACTTTTAAAATGCACCCGTGGAAATACCATCACAGGTGGCACTGCACTACCACAGGCGTTTAAGATGTAGCACGTTGTAACTAATGTTCTTCGTTCGTCACTTTGAATTGTCGGAACATATCTAACGCCCTTTTTTCATAATATATAACCTGGAACATATATAACCTGGATGAAAAGTCCCCGTTTCATCCAGGTTATAAATTCTCAAACCATTTGAGAAATTTTCGTGCCTTCTTGGATTCTTAGAAAGATTCTCTAGTATTTCAAAAAATAATTTTACATTAGCAGGATTAAATCCTGCTGCCCTAGCTAAACTATAACCTTCGAGGGTTCGTAGGCTCAAATTTTAATGCCATTTTCGAAATCCTTTGTACCAATTTATTGATGCTTGGCCTGACTATTTTCAATTGTCAGCTTTGACCCGTTTCATCCAGGTTATAAATTCTCAAACCATTTGAGAAATTTTCGTGCCTTCTTAGATTATTAGAAAGATTCTCTAGTTTTTCAAAAAATAATTTTACGTTCTTCTTCTTCAGATGCAAATCCACTAATGGATGTTAGCGATCACATTTTCCATTAATTCTCTATTTCTTGCAATATGTATCAGATATTGTATGTCGTTAATCCCCGTCCACGGCCTTATGTTTCGGAGCCAGGACATTTTCTTGCGTCCCATTCCTCTCTTGCCTTCAATTTTACCCTCGCTTATAAGTTGGAGGAACTGGTATTTTTTATTTCGCATGATGTGACCTAGATACGCCGTTTTCCTTTTCTTGATGGTTTCGAAAAGTTGGCGTTCTTGGTTTATTCTTTTAAGGACATCTATATTTGTGATTTTCGCTGTCCATGGTATTTTTAGGATACGGCGATAAAGCCACATTTCGAAAGCTTCTAATCTGTTTATATCCCTCGTTTTGAGTGTCCAGCCCTCTACGCCATATAGCAGCACTGACCATACGTAGCACTTAGTAAACCTTAGTCTCAGTTGAAGATCGAACTCTGAACAAGTCAGTACCTTCTTGAATTTTACGAAAGCTTGTCGAGCTTGCTCAATGCGACATTTTACTTCCCTGTCCGATGCCCAGTCTTCAAAAAGCCACGATCCCAGGTATTTAAATTTACTCACTCTTTCTATGGATTTACTATTCAGTGTTATGGTGGAGTTTTCAAGTGCATCAATCAAGTGCATTTTACATTAGCAGGATTAAATCCTGCCAAATTTTAATGCCTTTTTCGAAATCCTTTGTATCAATCTATTGATGCTTGGCCTGACTATTTTCAATTGTCAGCTTTGGCCAAATCATAGGTTAACTTGCGACAGTCGGTTACAGTTGGCCCATAAAAGATCTTTGAGCAAGTCACAATGTATTGAACAAGAACTTCTAACTGTGACGAAAAAATTTCTTTAAGTTAGGACTCATCCTACAAGTAGGGTCTTCTTTGTATTTTTTTTTATATATCTGCGTAAAGTTTGAAGCTTAAGTTTGTTTCCCTGAAAGCACAGTATGCACACCATTTGTAACTAAAAGTACCGCCTCCCTCATTTGTTCATCCGTGAATCGACCAACGGTTTTTGCAGTTTTCCTGAGACGCACCATACTGCAAATAAACAACGACTAGTTTAGTTAGTTCAATTTTTTACCAAAAGGAGAATAACATAAAAATATAATTTTATAGGGACAACTTATAAAATGACCCACTGTACCCACATATAAAATGTCTCACCGTACCCACATCACAATTTTTTCAGTTAAACAACTTGAAAATGTTTCTGAAACTAATGCGTAAGAAAATAACATGTTTTAGACTTACCTTAAATACGTAACTATCGGTTACTATCAATACCACAATTTTATTGGTAATAGTTTTTTTCATACAAACTTTAAAATTCCGAGCAAAACAATTACTTTGAAAGTGACTCAACACTTGACATCAACTAAGAATAAAATGCTTCAAACTGTCACTGCTTCTAAAAGATCAATATCGTAGTCATACCGCCAACTTAGTTTTTTTTACTGGTGCCAACAATCGAAAAAAATCTCTATGCGAGATCTTTTTAGTACCTTTTTGGCTAAAATTTGCATTTAAATCGTCCATAACGATGTCAGTGATCTATTTCAGGTAATAGTTTTCAATATTTTATTTTATTGTTAATTTGGTTACTTATTTTCAGGTTTCGACAAACAAAACAGAATCCACCCTGCAATTAAAAAACTGCTGGGAAGCAATCCAAGTTTGGATATACTTTGTTCCGGAAAAGGCAAACGTAGAGTTGCATCAAAAAGCTGTGATAAAATAGGTTCTAAGTCTCAGACGTCAGAAGCTAAAAGACCTAAATTAGATGTTAAAACTTCAGCCCCGAATCCACACAATAACAGTGATAGTGACCAGACCTTCGTAAAGAATAGAAAGAAGACAAGACATAGATTAGTAATCGGTAATGTATCCAAGTGGATTCAGTCTCTAGAAGATAACACGACACATAAGTGGATGATGTATGTAAGAGGAGAGAAAGACAATCCTGATATATCACACATTGTAGATAAAGTAGTGTTTCACTTGCATCCATCTTATAAGCCGCATGATATTGTTGAAGTTAGGTAAGCAATAAACTGGATTACTTTACAACATGTATCAATACAATTCATCTTCACTTATTCGATGATTTTGTAATATATACTACTCGACAAAATTAACGCATTAAACTGTTTTAAAAAAGTTCAGACATAATAATGTCTTTTAATGTCATGTTTATCTTACAAATTAATAGTTTCTTATTATTCCATATCATCATTCTCAGCGTATTCTACCGATTATGGTACAGCCTCCAACACATAGTCGTTCTTCATTTCTGCCCACGATTGTCTAATATTCGCTTTTCTGTGCTATGTTGTACTGGCTTGTTTCCTTATGTCATAGCGCCATCTTCAATTTGGACGTCTTTTTGGTCTCTTGATGCTAGCACAGTGGACCATCCCTTGTCAGTTCTCGCTAAATTTCTCGCCCACTGCGATTTTCAAGATTCAATTATGTGGATTACAACATTGGCCTTGGTTTTCTGTCTGATCCATTCTAATTTTTTTTATATCTCTTTATTACATCTAGCGTGCATCGCTCCATTGACCTTTGAGTGGCTTTGAGTTTCGATATTATCTCTTTCTTTAGTGTCCAAGTTTCGCAGCCGTATGTCATGACTGGTAGTAAACACTGATCGAATGTTTTTTCTTCAAGTAGAGTGGCATCCTGGATTTGAATATAACTGCATTTTTATCAAAAGATGCCCAAGCCAGTTTCATTCTTATGTTGATTTTGGGAGTAAGGAAAGAGATTTATGTATCAATGATTACATCTTAGACATCTACTACCTCATTGTACATGGTTTGTGATTTTTTCAAGTTTACTTTTAGACTAACTTCTATCCAGGGTCCTGAATCCACTTCTGAAGCCAGCTTACTCTTTTGGCTGTGCAGCATCTAGTGCATTTGTAAACCTGTTATTGATGATTTTTGTGAATCTTATGTGTATGTTTGATAGTATACTTATAGGTCTATAGTTTATGATACATTTCTTATGAATGATAATTATGTTTGCTGTATTCCAGTGGTCTGGTATGCATCTTGAACTTAGGCAGTTCGTAAATATGCCTGCTAAGATTTTCCAGGTTTTTTGCCAGCGTATTTAAGCAGTTCCACTGTTATGCCATCTATTCCAGCCGCTTTACCGCTTTTCATTGTTCTGATTGTCGATTCCACTGCTTCTCGAAGGACTTCTGGTATATCTTCTTGGTTACTAATTGCTTCTTCAAGTGTTTCGGGGCTTTGTATAGTTAGCTGTAGAATTTAGTCACTAGTTGTATTATTTCATTTCTGTCTATAATTCCGGTGTTTTCGTTTGTTAGATCGACGACTTGCTTCTTTCCACTCCCATTTTCTACTATTTTTTCTTTGTATTTTCTTAAGTCTTCCTTATTACTTTTCCTGATTATCTTACAAAGTTCTGTGTATTGAATTTTCTGTATATTGCTACTTAGTTTCATTTCTCTGTTTTGTTTTAGCATTATTTTGGTTTTATTAGACAGTTTCTTATGTTTATTTTATTGTTGCGGGCCTCCGATTTCTTTGGAAATATCAAGGATGATTTCCATTAATTGGGAGCTGTCGATTTGGTCATGTAATATTTCATTAATTTTCCTTTTTTTTTGCTCTGATTAGTCAATGGCCACTGCCTGTTTTAAATTTATTACAAATTTATTTTAAATCTTTTATTGTAGCAACCTTGTTGGTTAGAATGAAGTCTATATATATAAAGGGAGTTGAGGTTAATTGGGTATACAGCTGATTAAAAGCCAAGTGCACTCTGTTCAACAGTTCATTATATTTCGCCAATTTTCATTGGCATCATCCGATGAAAGTTTATTGAGGTTGCGGCAATATGATTTATTTTAACATCAGAATGGTTCAAAATTCTGAACGTCAATTATACAACTACATGTTATATGTCCCAAAAAGCTGCAATCCACATCGTACCACAAACCATTCTGATGTTAAAATAAATCATATTGCCGCAACCTCAATCAACTTTCATCTGATGATGCCAATGAAAATTGGCGAAATATAATGAACTGTTGAAGAGAGTGCACTTGGCTTTTAATCAGCTGTATGCCCAATTAACCTCAACTCCCTTTTCATCTACCAGATCAGCTGTTATTTTAGAGGATATATATATAGATATATATAGATATATATATATATATATATATATATATATATTATATATATATATATATATATATATATATATAGGGTCAACAAGATCAAGAGAAGCATGGAAAACGGTAAAAAATCTGAGAACAAACAGAAAAGAAACGAGTAGAATAGATTTAATAGAAGAAAAATCTTGGATCGAACACTACTCACAACTTTTAACTGAAACAAGACCTCAATTCACTAACATCAGTACAATAACATATGAAGTGGAATTCAGTGAAGACGATGAAATAACAGTTCAGGAAGTCGAGAATGCAATACGAACTCTAAAAAATGGGAAGTCATGTGGACCACAAGGTATACCAAATGAATTATTAAAACATAGCCCACAAGTATTACGGGAATTACTGGCGTATGTCTTCACCTTATTCTATAATGGACACGACTTACCACCGGAGTGGACAAAAGCACATATTAACAACATATACAAAAAAGGAGATAGAAAGAATTGTTCAAACTATAGGGGGCTAAGTGTCATAAATTCACTCTCAAGACTGTATGGAAAAATAATAAAAAATAAAATTGAAAAAGAGATGACAGATGTAGAAGAACAGAATGGATTTCGTGCAGGCAGATCCTGCATGGGCAGTATATTCTCTCTAAAGCAAGTTATCGAGAAAAGATTAGCCCACAATCTTTCAACTCATATAGTCTTTATAGATCTGACAAAGGCATACGATAGTGTACCACTTTCAATGCTTTGGGTAGCAATGGAAAAACAAGGAATAAGCAAAAAAATATATACAAGCAGTACAACAGCTCTACAAAAGTATGACGGCAAACATTAAAACTGGAAATAGATTAATTAGAGAAATTTCTATTAGTAACGGCCTAAAGCAAGGCTGCTGCATAGCACCTACACTCTTCAAAATATATCTGAATGCGGCGCTCTCACTGTGGAGAAGACAGTGCTGCAATATGGGCATCCCAATCGGAGATGATAGATTGTACACGATACATTTCGCTGATGACCAAGCCATTCTAGCTGAAGACGAGAGTGATATAAGCTACATGCTTAGAAAACTGGAAGATGAGTACACCAAATGGGGCCTCACAATTAATATACAAAAAACTGAGTACTTAGTTGTAGGAGAAAAACCAGAAAGTCTACAAATCGAAATGGGAACTATAAAACCAACAGACAATTTTAAGTACTTGGGAGTCCAAATAACATCAAAAGCAGGAAGTAGGGAAGAAATACATTCCAGGATTGGCCAAGCAAGATCAGCCACCAGACAGCTACACGGACTATTATGGAATAAAAAAATAACAAAAGAAAATAAAAGAAGAATTTATAAAACAATAATAGAAAGTATTGCATGTATGGCGCCGAACTCTGGGAAATAAACCAAAGAAACAAATAAAAAATTAAGGCCATGGAAATGAACTACTGGAGACGATGTTGCCAGCTCACTAGACTTGATAGGGTGAGAAACGAAGATATTCGGAGAGAAATGGAAATCGATCTAGACATAATAGACACAATCGAAGCCAAAAGACTTAACTGGTATGGACACCTTCAGAGAATGCCGGAAAATAGATGGCCAAAAAAAAATAGAAGAATGGACTCCGCCAACTAGAAGAAAACGAGGTAGACCAAGACGATCCTGGAGAGACGATGTCGAGGATGCAATGACCGCCAGAGATCTAACAACTGAAGATTGCTTCGACAGAAAACGCTGGAAATTAGGATGCGAGAATCGGCGCCAGCTGTAGAAGACTCGCTTGTTGTATTATATATATATATATATATATATATAATATATATATATATATATATATATATATATATATATATATATATATTGAATATTAAGCAGAGTATAAGAGCCAACCAGCCAATATATATTTATGTTATATTTTAGGGAATCCCCATTTCATCTATCTAGACGAGGTTGGGGAGAGTTTCCTCTTAAAGTCCAGATTTTCTTCAAATGTCCACTAAACAAGCCTGTCAGTATTGTACATAATCTTAAATTAGAAAAAACATTTTCTGGTCGTCAGACTTTAGGTATGTATCATTTAAACTAAAAAATATTTTAATTTTGTTTAAATTATAGATCTTATAGCTATTAGTGCTCTCAATAAAAGTTCGGTTTTATTTTATTGACCTTGTAAAGACAGCATCACCATTTGGAGGAGGGGTAACACTTTGTCTCAGGTTGCTCATTCAGAATTTTGTCAATGTTTTTAGTAAACAAGAAAATAATTGAAAAATATATAATCAAACTACTAATATATTCTAACAATATCTTTTCTTTTTTAATCTTTTCAATAATTTGTGTAATGCAGAACAGCTGATTAACTATTAATATTCGTGCGCTGGTCATGGTCATGAGATCGGGGCAGGGCCTTTTGTGAGGCTTTCAGACACTTGGACCTAATAAGGCGGTTCCATTTTATCACTCCTATCATACGGACTAGGCCCATAAGGACCAGGTCTTCGACTTTTCTGGGACCTAGGCTATTCGCGGCTCCAATATCCTCTAGAATCAGCAGGGGCTCCAAATCTGAGATCTTCCTGCTATTCGGAATGCCGAATCCTTTAGTAACCTTATAGTCTCATAAAAACCACCACAAGTCTCGTCGTTATAGGTACCTAACTCCTTCATTTATCCCGGTTGTATAAAAGCCGAACCCTAGATCTGCCACCTCTAATTTTCCAGAGGACAGAAGTTTCCTCCTCTTCTTCACATAGACGGCACCGTGGGCCATCGGCCAATCTAAGTAGAGTAGATGCCGCGTGCAGAGTAGAGTCTACAGTGGCTGGTAAGCATACTGACCACCAGAGAGTATCTTCTACAATGAAGAAGAAGTTGAACTGTAAAACTTTTGGAACTTTTGGCTATGTGGAACCTAGCCTGTCTCATACCTCCACCACTAGCCCAGGAGTGTTGGAATCTCCGCAAAAGTAGCTTCTTGAAACTACCTCGATCAGTAGTGAAGGGCACTCCAAGCACAGGTTCGGGTCCCACAGACAGAGTGGATGAGACCCATCTTCTTTCCAGATCGTCAGCTCGTTTTTTTCTTTCCACACCTGTGTGTCCTGGTACCCATATCAAGTTGACCTTATTAGTCAGCGCAAAATCAGAAAATGTTCTCTTGCAACCAAGAACCAGATTAGAGCTGACTGAAAGTGCTTCTAGAGCCCTTAGCGCTGCTTAACTGTCAGAGCAAATGCAGATGGTTCTGCTTGAGCAAGCCCTATCTATTATTTCTTGAGCACAAAATCAGGATCGCAAAGATCTGGTCTTGAAAGATTGATGCATGGGAGAGTAGAGCCTGGCTAGACTCTAATCTGATCCCTCTACCATATATTTCAGCAACTGCCTGCACCTCAACTTTTAACTGATCTGATCTACGACGGATCAGTGCAGGCTCTTGTTCCATTCGCTTATCCCAGTCAAGAAATTCAACCAAGAAGGATGAGATGAGAACTCAAATCGAGGAACCATACTGTCCTGTATCATAGAAAGCATAGGACAACACTCGATGGCGTGTCTCCAAATGTCACAATAACCCGTCCAACCAGTTGTTCCCAACCAGTAGAGGAGTTAAACCCAACAGCCTCAAGAGCGGCTGCGGGAGTGAATTGGTATATCCAATATAGGATTTTCGGTTGCAAACCCCGTTTGGCTACGAAAGATCTTCTGTACGCCCATAAAGCTGCAGCGGCCTTCTTCATCTTGTGGTCTAGATATTCCTTTCATCAACAGTCAACAGACTAGAATAGAATCAACAATCTTTCCTAGGTATTTCACTGACTTGGGAACCGATGGAGCTCTACCATAGAAGACAAGCTGCCTGGTCGATCCGATGGCCCTTCTAAGAGTAAACGGGACCACGGCAGTCTTGTTAGGATTAATACCGAATGATTGCTCCTGGTACTATTCTTCAACGAGTCCGAGGTCCACCTGAGCGACCTCTTGCGCTATTCCGGGAAGGGTCCCTCACCTCAACCAATGTAACTGCTCATCGGCATAGACTTGTGCATATATACCATGTTCGGGCAGTAGCTGAAGAAGGCCGTTGACCAACTGAATCCAGCTTTTTCTTCAACTTCTAAATATATGTATTCGTTATTTACCCTGTATTTGGTTAGTTTTTCATGTTATTCTGCTAACCGAGTTTGTCATTGCAATGCATAATGCATAGTTGTCACATTCGTCACGTCTACCTTTTTAACATATATTAGAAATGAAGGATGTCTTCCATTCTTCTGAAATATCTGTTCTGTAGTTCTGGAATGGTTTCGTTAGACTTTCGTACAATGTGTGTTTTGTTGTATTTAATTAACTCAGCTGGGATATTATCTGGATCTGGACTCTTAAGCTAATATTGTTAGGAATCTGTGAATAACTTCAGACACCTTCTTCTGGTAAATATTATTCGATAAAAGTTATCACTGAACTAGCCTGAATTATTAATAGATTCCTGTATATTTAACCTAAGATTAATGCTGGGCTCCATCGACTTACATTATTTGTTTAACAATATATACTAACGAATATTTTCGATTATAGGAAATGAAACTTTGGTAGATGTATATCTACATGACATTAGTATAAAACCAGAAACCATTACGAAACCTCCAAGTGAACCAGTTGATAATGAAAGTCCAAGCACCTCGTACAATAATATTTTCCAAAATCTCGATTTACATCTTCAGGTATTGTAATTTTTGCTTATTCGTAGATAGGATTTTAATTTTTATTTACATTAGTGTTGTACTTTTGATCAGTGTTATTTCATAAGGTGATATCAGTAAAAAAAAAGAAAGAAAAGAATTTTAGAGGTGAAAATAATTTTTAGAATTAAATTAGTTTATTCGAATTCAATGTCTTCACAATTAACCTTCCTTAATCCATTTAACAATTTGATAATAATATGAGATCAAGAATGTTTGTTGTTCCCAATATTCTTTAATAACTCTTGCGGCATGCTTGATATAGTTTCCCAATTTTCCTAGTCATAGCTTAAAACCTAAACACAGAATCTTTAATGCAAATAACAATCGGATTCATTGCTTAAATTAATATTAATATGAGATCAAGAATGTTTGTTGTTCCCAATATTCTTTAATAATTCTTGCGGCATGCTTGATATAGTTTTCCCATTTTCTTAGTATGACCTTAAATAAGACTACAGTGGTTACTTAAAGACATTAACAATAACTTTTACTTTACCTGCTCCTTCATGGTATCCTGGTACCAGTATGGCTTTAGTTATATCAGCGGTCAGATTTTAATACCCTACAGAAAAGGGTCACAGGAAAATTCGCTCCGGCCATATATTTCTTTCAAAATATAGTGTCAAAATGCCTTTAGTAGTAATGAATAATAATGAATAGCCAGGGTCAGCGTAAATAAAGAATGTTGTCTTCATAAAGCAGGTACTTTGATACATTTTTGCAACAAGGCAAGTATACTTTATCCAGTTCGGACTTAAATGTAACCGGCAAAAATGTTAACTGAGAAGTAAAGTTGTGTGCTAATAAATAAGTAAATATATAGCAGCATACTATCAAGTGTACGACTACAATATGTCCGCCCTGACAACCTTATTGAATTTGGATTATAGTATATAATTAAAGATGATAACGGAACTCTACTCACTTCTAAAAAAGATATTTTACACAGATGGAAAGAATACTGTGGACGACTGATGATGGAGGAAAGCAGAGACGCCCCATCACAACAAGAAGATGCCAGTTTTGCGACGGAACCTGACGTACTCAAAAGTGAAGTTGAAGCAGCAATTATGAGGCAAAAAAGTCAAAAAGCTGCCGGTCCAGATAACATACCTATTGAAATGATTTGGGCCCTAGATGACGTTGGAGTGGATATAATACATCAAATTTGTCAAATAGTGTGGGAGACAGGTAAATGGCCTGAGGACTGGACACAATCACTATATATTCCCATACATAAAAAGGGAGCGAAAGATTTATGTAGCAACTATCGCACAATTGCTCTAATTGCGCATTGCAGTAAGATACTCTTACACATAATTCTCGAGAGGATAAAGCCCTTTTTACTACCTAACATTGCGGAGGAACAAGCAGGTTTCGTCCCAGGACGTGGTACTAGAGAACAAATTTTAAACGTACGGCAGATTGTAGAAAAATCCAGAGAATTCAACATCACAACATATTTGTGCTTCATAGATTATAGTAAAGCTTTCGATTTGGTCAACTGGAGTAAAATGTGGCAGGTTTTGTCTGAAATGGGAGTCCCTTATCATCTGATACTGCTAATTAAAAGCCTGTACAATAACAATTATGCCAGAGTTAGAATAAATGGGGAACTAACTGACAGTTTCAGGGTCACAAAGGGCGTGAGACAAGGCTGCATACTAAGCCCAATTTTATTTAACATCTATGGTGAATGGATAATGCGGAAAGCTACTGAGGACTGGAACGGTGGCATCACCATTGGCGAGAAGAAGATTTGCAACTTGAGATATGCAGATGATACTACTATCCTCGCTAGTTCTGAAACTGAATTGATTCGCCTGCTACAACGGATAGAAGACGTAAGCTTAACGATGGGCCTTAAAATAAACAGGGATAAAACGAGAATCATGATAATTGACAGAGCTAACAACAATCAAAATCATCTGGTTAGGATAAACAATATCGCTGTTGTAGATAAATTTGTGTATCTGGGCTCATTAATAACCAACAAAGGAGGCTGTACTGAAGAAATAAAGCGGCGGTCAGCAATCGCAAAAAGCGCTATGGCAAAAATTAACAAAAATTTGGAAAAGCCATGAAATTACTACCGATACAAAAATGAGACTAGTAAGAAGTCTAGTTTTTCCAGTTTTTACTTATGCATCGGAATGCTGGACCCTTACTGAGAAAGACAAAAAGAACATAGATGTATTTGAGATGTACTGCTGGAGACGAATGCTGAGAATACCATGGGTGGCCCGAAGAACAAATGAATCCATACTGGTCCAGCTAAACATAAAGAAAAGACTAAGAACACAAATAACAGAACAGATAATAAGCTATTTTGGACATGTGCTTCGAAGAAATGGTCTTGAGAAACTTACCATCCAGGGAAAAGTAGAAGGCAAAAGAAGTAGAGGTAGATCTCCTTACCATATTTGAAATATTTTATTTGTTAAAAAATAAATATACTCAAAAATATTTCCACGATATAATGAACATATAAAATATGTACGATAAGAAAAATGTGTTAAATGTAGCCTATAGGACTGTTTATATTTCATGGCTAGACTTCACATGAAAAGATCGTTGCCATTAATTCGATTGGTTACAGACCAATCTAAATGCCAACAAATAAAATATCTTTACATAAATATGCATTCTAAATATATCTTGTTGGTGAATTCTGTTGATTTTTTTTGAGAACCGACTCACAATCTTTTTGTCTCTATCTAATTGACGTATTAGAAAGAAATGAAAAGAGGTCATGGGATGAACTATAGTAGACTTTTTCTGAAAAATAAATACTCTTAACCAATATTCTATAAACATTTTTTAATAATTTAATTTTCTGCAGGGCAACAACCTGAAATCAGATTTCACACCTTTAGATAAAATGTTTATAAAGAAAGAACCTTTCGAATACGACTACACTCCACTTGACCTATACAAAGAACCTTTAAATTATGACCAGTTTATCAAATCTGAAGACATCATCGTCAAAGACGAACTTCCAGAAATCACGGATCAAACGACAAGTAATGTGGATATTATATCAACCAGATCCGATTCAGCATACGGATGTTCTGACACTGCGTCTATGAGTTTCGAGCACGATTACTGTGATGTTATAGAGGAACAATTCGTGGATAATGAAGTCGAGATGAAGGAGGACTATTTTCTTAATATTTTTAATCTCGAACATTCCTATTCTTGTCTTAGTTTGACAGACAGTCCAGATGTTAGTACTGTAAGTGAACATATGGTAAAAAGAGAGAATGTGATTGTTGACCAGGATTCAGACAACAAACTGATCTTTGGATTGGGGGAGAATTACCTTAGAGGAAGTACTTCAGTGGTTTATAATACGGTAAGTTAAAATATTAGTTGTATTTTTTTTAAATCACTGTATGATAATTGATGTATATATATATATATATATATATATATATATATATATATATATATATATGTGTGTGTGTGTGTGTGTGTGTGTGTGTGTGTGTGTGTGTGGGTTTATGCTCAATATTTTTGTTGGTAAAATCTAATGTGCTGATTTTCTGATTTTATTTTATTTTATTTAATACTCCATTTGTTTGTCCACTTCTACAATCCATTATATAACTTATCTGTGATTCAATTACGTTGTCAACAGAAAATTTCAACATTTTGCTCTGAAACTAGGACAGAGTGTACAGGAGATATATGACGGGTACAGAACACTTCCCTTTGTATCTCTGCACTAATTTTCCTTAGTTCAGAATAAACATCTTTCTGCTTAATCCTGAAGTATCTCTGTGACAAATATGAAATTAAGATCTTTGAGTATTGGACAGGAAAGGCCATTTTTATCTTATGCTACAGTCCTACGGGCCAGACCTTGTCGAGGGCCTGTGCTACATCCTGCATACCAATAATGCTGAGCAAATCTTTTTTTCTTCAAGTGATCCTTCTATCACTCTAATAACCTTAATATATCACAATAAGTCTTAATAATAATCACTTCATATCAGTGGCGGCTCGTTTCACTTTAAAAAGGTAGTGCCAGAATTCGGGCAACTGAATGAACGTAATTTGCAAGAGGATATGTCTCCTTAATAATTTTTTGCACACATTTAATCCACCGCTCATAACAGATGCACCATCATAACTTTGAGCAAATAATTTGTTCGGAGTATGTTTTAATAAGGGATTTAAAACATTTAAAATACATTCATCGATGGACTTAGTCATATCCGTCCAGCACATAAAATCCCCAAAACCTCTCAACTGATCGTCCTTTACACAAATATCGGGAAACTATAACTAATTGAAATTCACCAGCAACGTCTGTCGTTTCATCGGCAATCACTGCAACATAAGGAGAATTTTCAATTTCTTTCTTAATTTCCTTGTGGTAAACATCCAACATGCACTCAATGAGTTCATTTGGGGTTGTTTTTGAGGTACCTTTAAAAGATTTGGAACTTTGAATATGAACCTTTAAGTCGTTGTCAAATTCGGCGCTAAAATTGACCAGCTTCTTAAATATGTCTCTGCTTTCTGAATTTTTGGTTTCGTCGTGACCTCTAAGAGCTAACTCAAAAACTCCACAAAACCTTATACAATTTATGATTTGATTCAAGACATATCGATTATTATCCACCTGTTCATTGTGTTTAATTAGAGTATCACGATAAGCTGAATTTAGGGTTTTTATATTTAAGTTACCAAGCATCGAAAAGCTAAAACATTATTTATGTGCACTAGATTTTTCATGGGATCTCATTTTCTGCCTCGTCTCCTCCAAACAAAACGCATACAAAACAAAACAGTTTATTAGTTTGTTTGCAACCACACAACCAGCTATTTTTATCATAAATAGTTCTATTAAACTTACGACGGCGAAGTTTTTGTCCACTTCCACTTACAAAATATTTTAGATAATAAACACAACATCAGCAAACAAATGCGTAAATAAACTCGAAATAGATAAGATCTACCAAAGCTTTCATCTCCAGATCTCGTGCCTGGCTCAAGTAGTCTCATTTAACGTCTTACTAAATATATAGTAAAGCTCTATCTCAGTGGGTTGCTAGATAAAAGAATAGAAGAGAAAAAGAAATACACACAAAATAATTAACTAGCATTAAGATGATTTAAAGATAAAAAATATGTTTCATAGTTAGCAAGGTAGGGCCATGGCTCTATGGCACTACCTCACAAGCCGTCTGTGGATAGTCGGATAGTATAATTCAGCCAGAGAAACAGGATTCGTTGATATAGGCATTTATTTCGAATTTACATATACAAATGAAAAAGTAATTATCGTTAACTGTCTACTGAATACAATGTTTGAATACAAAGACGTACTGTTTATTTATTTCGGTAGATGGGTGTGACGATATTCGATATGGTAAACTAAGATACGGCGATCGAGGAATTGAGGTCGTACTCGTATTTCAACGCAGAACGACTACTTGGACAGGGATAAGGATGTCTATCTAGTTCAACGCATCAGATAGAAAGAATACGCCAATAACGTTCAACGAACCAGATTGACGCAGCCAGAGGAAGAATTGTCAATCTCACTCAACGCGCTAGATCGACTGGGTTCGAAAGGATTTGGGACACGTTCAACTCACCTGTCTCCAAGGTCAGATATTCTCAGCTCAACGCGTCGAGAATGGTTAGCTGTCTTTCAGTTTCGACTTTTATACTATTCGAGACGGAACAAAAACATGTTTTGTTTAACACATAGGCGTACTCTAGACGATAAAATATATTATCGTCACACGCCACTGCTTCATATATTCTGCTTCAAACAGTTAATATTCGTGGTCATTTTAGGGTAGTCTTTGCATTTTTAAGTAAATTAGTGGAAACGTCGCTTGAAATGGCATTAGGCATTTTAATTCGTTATGAAAATTGATTACCTAGAGAACATTTTTTAATATATTTTAAATTTTAGGTACCTAACAAAGTGGTGGCTACAAAATCCCTGGATTACGTCCAGTTGTGTCAGCAGAACGGTTTGGTTGAAGCTAGAAAAATCTTGAAGTCTAAATTTGGTATATCGTTACCTCCAAACCGATTCAAAAACATAGGCGAAGCGTTACCATATTTGCTAAGAAGATTCTCATTGTGGAACGAAAAACGGGCGAATTCGAGTTTTAAGGCCTTATATCCGTTTATAGCCTCCTCAAAGGAAGAATTCGATATGTGGCCTTTTGGCAAAATGTTAAATGCAGAGGTAAGTACTTAGTCTTCTTCATCTAGTGCTTATCCTCTTTGGATCTTTGCGATCACATTGAAGTCGCCATTTTTTTGTCGTACATGTTTACCTACCCTATTTACAAATCTTTTTTGTTTCTTTTATCTTATTTAGTAGTAACTGATAAGTTTGTTTGTAATTTGTAGAATTTGTTTCTTATTTGTTCATATCTCTTCTATGAGCTGCAGATTTTTGTTATTTATCCATTTCTGCCGTTTATTGTATTTGGTTTAAGTTTATCCCTGGTAACAGTAACAATCTACAAATAATCTATCGGATTTCTTACAATTTGGTTCGAATTGTCGACCGGTTACTTCCATGTATATAGACTTCTGCTAAACTAAACTAAATCATTGCGTATAATACATATCACAACTCTTCATGGACAAAATACCAGAGAATTTTAATATAACGAGTACTCAGAAGCCTTCAGCTTAGTTAAAGATGTTATGGAAATCGCAAAATCCGATAAAGCAGATGGACCAAGCGAGGTACAATTTGAGCTTGTACAATTGTTTCTGCAATTTTTTCTGTTTTGCTAGACCTGCTTAATGATATATACAGAACTAAGATCATACCGCATGAGAGAGAGGGGGAGAAATTTATTGTTTCTAAAATGAGTTACATTTATAAAACAAAGTACAAGATACATTAAAATACTAATTATAAAATTTTCATAATAACAAAGTAATCAATTAGCACAACTTTCCTCAAAAAATCACTAGATACTATAGTAACACTTAGATAATATAACTTCTTGATTGCTCTACGGAATACAAAGATATTGCTTGGGAATCTTATATCGAGAGGTAGGTGATAATAAGATTACTCATTTTCAGTGTAAATAAATGATTTTTTAATTAATGTAGAAGAGGGAATTGGAAGCTATTGAAATGATGATGAAATGATGATAAAGAGAACAGCTACCCCAAAAGGCAATACGTTATCTCAAATTAGATTAAATCAACACCACATAAACACTTTTTGCGATCTTGAAATCTAAGTAGTGTGTAACTGATTTGACAGCGAAATAACCCGATATATTTTTGCTTAAATATACAGTGTGTTGCTCAAATATAAGTTTATTACCAATTTAGAGATCTAAAGTTTTGTTTACGTTGTCAGAATAAATGTCTTTATTGTACAGAGTAATGTTGTTTAGATCATTCTTAAAAGAAATAATTTGGTTTTTGAAAAATTAAATGTCAAATGATTAGCTTTGCACCACTCTTAGAGTTCTTGTTTTTGCATAAAATTGTGGTGTCATTTGCAAACATAATAAACCGGCCATTAATGTCGAGACTAATTATGTCATTAAAACATATCAGAAAAAGATAGGACCCAATACAGAGCCTTGAGGTACGCCACAACTAATAAAGATATTGAATAGCGCTCATTGATTGATACAGACTGGCATCTGTCTTCAAAGTCTTCAAAGAATTAAACCACTTTTGGGCAGTGCCTCTAAAACCATATTTTTCCAGTTTATTAAGAAGTATTTTGTGATTGGCACAGTCAAAGGCTTTAGATAGATCACATAAAATCGCAGCAGCAACATAATTTTATTTAAGTCTAAGTATAGGTTTTCCATGAATTCGAAGATGGCATCATATGTACTTTTTAATGACTGGAAAAAGAATTGGATGAAGGAAGTAAATTTTGTTTTTGTAAGAAAGTCATTATTCAGATTTTTACCAATTTTTCTACAACCTTTGAAAGTGACGGTAACAAAGAGATGGGACGATAATTAGAAGATAAACAGTGGTCACCACCTTTATACAGGGGAATAAATTTTTAACGATCACTAAAGTGACCTATTGAAAAAGACGTGTTAATTTCCTTCTCTAAAACCCTCAGAACATTATCAGGAAGATAAGATAAAACTTAAGATGCTATATCATCCCAGTCTGTAGCCATAGGATTTTTAATGCTTTGTATTATATTTTTTAGGAGCCATAGTTGCTATTAGAAAGGAATTTGTAATGTTTATTCCATTTAAAAAATGCATTGGATCAGAAACAGAATTAGTTTTTCCAGCAAGTTCGGGACCTACCGAGCAGTAATATTTATTTAGCTCGCTAGGGTCTAAGACTATTCAGTAGTTTGGGGAACTTTAGCTCCCCAAGATTATTAACTATACGCCAAGATTCCTTTTGTTTGTTATTGGCATTTTCCATTATATAATCAAAAGATATACATGTAGCTAATTTAGTAACCTTCCTATAGATGGATCTATATTTAGAGAAATACATCAAAAATTGATTATTGCATATTATATGTTTTTTAATGTAGTTTAACGATTGTAAGTTTTTGCGGAAAATTCTAATTCCTTTAGTAACCCAAGTTTTTTATTTTTATTTAAGAATTTTTTTTTGAAATGCCAAATTGAAAATCTATATGAGCGTGTGACGAAATTGATGGAGCAAATCAGGAGAGCAAATAATTTTATGCCAATCTTCCTGAGTAGGTACATAGTTTGATAAACCTGTCAAAATTACATTTGCTGAAAATCGTACCCCATCTGCCTGAGTAAGGCGGATTCTTAAGGGGAAATTCACACAGAACGGGATCATGATCCGATGAAGAATAAGGAATGACTCAGCATACCGCCAGATCCGGATGAAGATAAGTACAAAATATAATCCAATATGCTGTTATCTCTTGTTGGTTCGGTAACCAGCATTCTCATATTAAAACTATTAAGTAAATTTATAATAGTAAAATCATGGCTGTGTAATGAATCCAAATAATCAATATTAAAGTCACCTGTCAAGATAATAAAAACATTTTGTGGAATTTTATCAAGCAATAACTGAATAATAAACTTAGGGGATCTATACACAACAATGAGAAAGTATTAAGCTTCTTACTGAAAGTAATAGAAATTTCAAATTCAATGTAGAGGTGGATAAATTTATTGTAGTCAATCAAATTGAATTTATACTAAAATGTCGTATTAATTAGAATCAATGTTCCTACATGGATGCTTTCAGATCTGCAAAATTTAGATATTAAGGAATAATTGTTATTACAAAGTGTTTCTAGAGGATATAACCAGTGCTCAGTTAAAAGTACAAGATCTGGCCAATCATTTTCGCTAAGAAACACTTCCAGTTCCTCAACGTTGTGCGTACAGAACATATTTTGTATAAAATAATACAAAATTTAATACTGATATTAGATTTATGTACATATACTGGTATCGATACACACCGACAATATTATTTATATTATGTTTGTGCCCTATGTAAGGATAAGGAGGGGCATATACTCAATACAAAAGAAGAAGTATTGCAAAGGTGGGTGGAACACTATAAAGAAATACTTACTATCGAACTAGAAGATCCAAATCAACCACCCCCATAAGCAAGCAACAATACACCATTGGAGCCTCCATCAATTCAAGAAGTGCGGGATGCAATAAAACACCTATAAAATAATAAATCTCCAGGAAGTGATGGTATACACGCGGAACTTACTAAATGTGGAGGTGCTACTCTTACTAACCATATATATAAAATCATACTGAGAGCCTGGAATGGGGAACAAATCCCGGAAGAGTGGTGTATTGGGATCGTTTGCCCGCTACACAAAAAGGGTGATCAATTGGAATTCAACTATAGGGGAATAACCCTCCTTAATACAGCATACAAAATATTTTCGAGTATTTTATATAGTCGCCTGAGTGCATATTCAGAGGAGCTTCTTGGCGAATATCAAAGTGATTTTAGGCCTGGTCTATCAACAACAAACCAGATCTTTGTGCTAAGGCTAATACTGGAAATAACCAATGAATTCAATATCGACACATTTTCGTAGATTTTAAATCGGCCTATGATAATGTCCTAAGAAATAAATTGTATGTAGCCATGGATGAATTTCACATCCCCGATAAACTGATAAGATTGGTTAAGACTACAATGCGTAAAGTTGTTTGCAAAGTCGAAATACAGGGCGAACAATCGCAGGCATTTGAAACGCATGTTGGGTTGCGACAGGGAGATGCGCTGGCGTGTCTCCTTTTCAACATAGCTCTGGAAAAGGCGGTCAGGGATGCAAAAATAAACACCAGAGGAAACATTTTTTATAAATCATCCCAAATTTTGGCATATGCAGATGATGTTGGCCTAGTTGCCCGCACAACACGCAAACTAGAAGAAATGTGTCAAATGCCTCAAAAAATATGGGCATGCAAGTAAATGAGGAGAAAACTAAGATAATGGCATCAACACCCAACAATAGAGCCAGAAACATCGGCCACGAATTCCCTGTTGATGACTCTACCTTTGAAGTGGTGGACAAATTCACATACTTAGGCTCCCTCATCACCAAGGAGAATGTCATGACGGAGGAAATCAAGTAAAGAATAATGCTAGCAAACAAATGCTATTTTGGATTGAGTAGACATATGAGAAGCAGAAACTTACGCCAAAAAACAAAAATAACCATATACAAAACCCTTATACAACCAGTGTTAACATATGGATCGTAGACATGGACCATTTCCAAGGCAGATGAAAACCTCCTGCTTATATTTGAACGAAGGATCCTGAGAAGAATATTCGGTGGCATCTGTGAAAATGGTGTTTGGAGAAGGAAGTACAACTATGAGATATATCACAGATATAATTATATATTTGGTGGTAAAGAACGTAGTATCTCTCATAAAAATAGAAAGACTAAGATGTGCAGGACATCTGGCAAGATCACCGCAGAACAACCCTCCTAGAAGAATTCTTATGTCACAACTTGTGGGAAGTAGAAGTAGGGGTAGGGGTAACTCAGATGGAGGGATGGTGTAGAAGAGGATGGTAGAAAAATAGGCGCAGCAAACTGCCAACAGTTGGCAATGGATAGAACTTACTGGCGTAATAGACTCGGGAAGGTCGAGGCTCTTTTATAAGGCTGTAGCGCCAATGATGATGATGATGTGAGATACTAATTCCTTTCTTATCCGGGAAGGCCTTCAAAAATCCTTGTTGTTACGTTGATAGTTGTGGAATATTTGAAGTCGAAACGTTTGAAACCGATTATTTTGGGCCAAGTAGCTTGTTGGTAGGTTTGATCTTTATATTTTTCGCTAATCCTAAACCTACAACACTTATTACAATTTTACTGTCGGGAGTTCCTTTACAATAACATCCACGTCGGAGAATTGTTCTTGATTTTTTGCGAAATCGTGGATATTTTCAGATGATACATGCCGCTTAATTCTATAAAGGTATAACCGAACTTTACGGTCTGCACCAAAATCGCTTGTTTCCACTTTTGTATCTCTGAACAGTTCTTGTATAATTTTTTTCCACTCTTGTAGTTTAGCTTTGGTATTATAAACTAACTGTCAGTTGTTATTTACGACAGGGTAGTATTTTTTTTATTCATTATGAAAATGAAAATTATGAACATTCTTTCACTTGTATATATTAAAAGAATCATACCTATTTTCTAATTCTTTCATTTCATAACTTTTTCTTCTAGCCATTTCTCTTTTGCATGTTGTACTTTCCTCATATTTCCTTATTCAAACGTTTGTTTTCGATTGTGTCCCTATTTTTTTTATTTTCCTTTCATCCTTTTCATCCACCCTATATAAAATGTTTGATGTCATCCAATCTTTTGTTGCCTTTGATCGAGTTTTTGGAATTTCTTCCCTTGTACTATTGACCAGAATGTATTTGATTTGTTCCCATGTTATATTTATATTTTGAGTAGTTATTTGGCTTCGATATGTTAATTGATAATTTTTTGTCCAACTTCATAGTAGTTTTATCTTTGATCTCTACCTATTTTTCGTCAATGTTAATTTTAATTTCATAAAATTTTGCTGATTAATATGTAAAATTACTTTGAATAGCTTCGTACAAAATCTTTAAATCGCTGATATTAATATATTTTTTTCATTTGCAGTGGAATCGAGCTAAAGAAATTAAGAAAATCTTGTCTGCGAGGTTTCCAAGTTTAAGAAAATGGAGTACAAGGGCTATTTTTATGTATGCCCGTTCCCATAAGTATTCACCTGTACTTAGTTCTGCTGCGTTCTTCAAACATTCGTCGGAGGATCTTAGACTTATTAATGATTGTTTTTCAGAGGTTGAAGCAGGTGCGATAAATATTAATAAATCATTGGAAATTGATGTCAAGGTTGACATTGAATCAGAAGGAGGTAAGAATAACTGGAATTTGGTTTATCTTGGCATTTATCTATTTTGGCAAACAAAATGATTGCCAAAATGACAGTGTTCTAATCAAAAATGTTGAACTAGTCATATTGGAGTAAATCATGGAATCAAAGTAGATAGCACCTTTGTACGCTTATCAATTGAGTGGGAAACAGTTAGGAAAGGTTTGTTGTTGTTTCCTGTTTGATTTTGTATTCAGCCGCCTCGTCTTTTGAAGCCATGGGAGGCCGAAATAACGTCATAACGCAGTGTTAATTTAAGAGTAAAAGATTTAAAAAAAAGCATTAAAGATTTAACATAAAAGTTAAGATTTAAAAAAAAGCATTAGTCAGTCAGTCAGTAATCATTTAAAATTGTTGGGGTATGGATGTATATTATACTTGGAACTTGTATAGTTTTACATATTTTATCATCTATTAGCTTTAGGGGGAAAAATATTTACGCGACGCAATGTTGCTAATTCCCAATTGTCAATAGTACGAACTGAGAGATTATGGTACACTGGAAAAATAGTACAAGATATAAGAAATTTATTAAACATACTTAAAACCCCGAATACATAAAATTTTAACAATATTAAAAAAAAGTAAAAGCAATTTTTTAAAACAATAAAATTTATACAAACTATTAGCCGAAATTAAGATCAAGCTCAATATCATCATCCTCCATATGTTGAATCTACGGACTTTCTTTATTTTAATTAGCTTTGCTAATGTTGCTTGAGAACTGTGAGTGTGAGATTTTATTATTTGTTTATGTTTTGCACTATTTTCATGAAGTTTTGATACCTGAATCTCCGATTTCAGTAAACTAGAACAAACTTTACCTTTGCGTTTGTTTTGGAATTTTTATCACTACAAACCCATTTAAAAGTTGATTCCCATTCGTTGTAGGAATTTTAAATTCTATTAATACAAATTTTCTTTTTTGGAGGGGTTGATCTATTCTGGCTCTATTCAGAATCTTTTTCATCCATCAGTAGGTATACATATTAATAAAACGTAATTATACAAATAATAGTAGTTATAGTACGTTTTACAAATCAAAAAGCTCAGCTCTACAAATGAAAATTTCGGTTATTTTCGGCTACTCTCGCAAAAGAAGTGAGGAGTTAGGGCGATATTTTCTGCATGTCAAACTGAATTTTGTTATAATATACAGTGTAGGTAAAAGTTTATGGTCGGTATGGTAAAATTTAACATGATATCTAACACAGATTTAAAATCATATTTTCAGCGAATAGACAAAGATAATCATATTTCCCCTTGGCCTCCCTTCCCTAAATCTTATCGATGCCCATTGCCCATTAGTGAGACGATTAGTTCCGATCAGAGATATTTTACATATTCTTTGGTTCCGATCCTAATATAGCTAAGAAACTAGAGGTGGGTCCTCTAGTTTTTTAATTTTTTATCGGGACCGTTTTTCGTAAACTGTAACTAGTTGATTGTTTACCAGTATTCAAATTAGCGAGTACACAAACATATTGGCTATTATCGTTTGTTTGTATAAGTATTGAAGTGAAAGAAACTAACGAAGGATATATTTATTATAACTTGAAAAATAAATTAAACAATACAAATAGTACTTACATTTACATGGACTTGAGTCATCTTTATCAGTTTCTTTTTCTTGTACTGGTTAATTTTCAATAGTACAATCTTCTTTTTCTTTTTTATAAAAGTAACCAGCTTCTTAACTATTTCTTTTGTTTTTTTACCTTCATTTTTATCAGAAAATCCCTGCATTTTAAATCATTATTTGTCTTTTACGAATCTACGGTTTCTCACTGGTAAGCCAACTAGTTGATGGTTGATTTAAAAAAAACTATGTTTTGTGTAGCCGTAACCACGTAAACAGAGGAGCAACGGACACTTTACGTCGACGAGGACGATTAGTTGATCTGAGAGACTACTACAAAACTAAAAATAACATGCGACTCTTTCGAGACAGTGGACAGTCGGGCTATAGGTTGACGTTGAAAATAAAATAACTAGGCATTCTGATTAATGAATGAGTTTCGATTTAAGATTGATCTGCATTTTCGAAGTTGATGGATACTTCCATTAATAAAAATATTAGTTTAGAACAAAAGAAACAAATAGATATGGATTTACTTAACCTATGCAAAGACTCGTTTCATCCGATTTCCATAGTTGAAGAAGGAGCTTTTAAAAAGTTTGCAGGGCGGGTTCTTGGATATAAACCGCCAACAAGAAAAACTTTGTCAGGTTCATTACTTCAGGAATGTTACATCAAAACTGAGCAAATTATTAGATAACAAGTTGTTAAAGAAGTAGAAAATATCTGTATTACTACTGACCTCTGGACATCTGGAGTAACTGAGAGTTACATCGCATTAACAAGACAATATTTAACTGAAAATTTAGAATTTAAAACGGTCTTATTAGGCTACTGCCACTTTTCTGGAAACCATAATTCAGAAAACATCGCTTTTAAAATTCCTCGATAATACCTGGAATATGGTCAAAGCTATTAAATATGTTTTGGAATGAAAACATTTAAACTGTTTTGCTCATACGTTAAATTTATTGATGGAGGACGCACTTAAATGCTGTCGTGTACAAATAGATAAAATAAAAAGTCTTTTTTTCGACAATTTGACAAAAAACACATTTAAAAAAAGTACCTTATCTTCAGAAAGGCTTTTAAAGTATCAATTACAACATAACGAAGTTAACAAACGGCCAATCCAAGACGTGGAAACTAGGTTGACCTTCACCTATTACATGTTAAAAAGAATGACCGAGTTAGAAGAGGCAAAGAGGCATACATTGGTATTAGTTAATACAGATTTAGACTTAGACCAAATCTAAATAATGAAGACTGGATTATTTGTTCTTAACTGTCCCAAATTTTACGGCCTTTTAAAGAAATAACAAGTACAATCAGTGGCCAAAAAGAATCTTGCAATAAAATTTTAGCAAACGGTAACCTTACATCCATAGTATCCGACGTAGTACAATTACTAATATCGGGTTTAGCAAAGAGATTTAGAGGGATAGAATAGAGTGGCACATTGTCATTATGTACATTTATGGATTCACGATTTAAAGTGCAGGGATTTTCTGATAATAATGACGCTAAAAAATAAGAGAATGAGTTAAGATGCTGGTTACTTCTATAATTAAAGAACAAGAAGATTGTACTATTGAAAATCAACCAGTACAAGAAAAAGAAACCGATAAAGATGGCTTAAGTTCATGGTGTATTTTTGATCAATTAATTGGACATGACTCATCTAAACGTACACCTCTATCGAGAGTCCATTACAATGGTGGAAGAACCATCGCCATGTATATCCTCACTTAACCACTATATTCATAAAGTATTGTAAATGTGAACACATGTTCAAAATCTGGTTTAATTTTAAATAAAAGAGGAACACGGTTAACAAGAAGTAAAGTAAAAAAATTTATGTTTTTAAATGTCAATTTAGACGATTCGTGATTTAATTCGTGATTTAATCATAACGTGTAATGTAAATGTAAGTACGATTTACTATTTGTATTGTTTAGTTTAGTTTTCAAGTTATAATAAATATATCCTTCATTAGTTTCTTTCACTTCAATAAATATACACATAAACGATAATAGCCATTATGTTTGTTTATGTAGGTACTCTCTTACTTAAAACTGCTGTTAAAAAATCATAGTTACTTGTTTACGAAAATCGGTTTTGCGACGTCAACGACCCACCTCTATTCGTACCTGTGTCCTTACTTTGATTCGGCGTTTTGACCATGCGACACGATACGTTACCAAATAGTTTTGTATAAAGCTTTTTTATTTATATGCAGTTTAATGTTTTTATTGGAAATAAGGCACAATGTGACTTTAAAATAAGCTTATTTTGACGTTTAGATTTTTAATTCGGAAATCGTACCTAAAATACGAAACAGTAATAAATTTTATTTATATAAAACGATTTCTGAAGTATAAATCAAAATGTTATATTACACTTATTGTAAATTAAAATTTTGGCATATGTATTCCCAATAGAAAACAGTAAACTTGCCATTTACATCCATTTCGGCCAAATTTGATTATCTTGGAACATTGTTCAAATGCTAAAAAGACAACAGGTCAAATAAAACCAATAAGTTTGGCAACGTTGAATTTCCCCTTTTTTATTATATCCACTCATGTATGTTCGGCGATATAAAGAGCGGACCTAATATACCTCTCTCTTTTTAAACAGGTGTTTCTCACTCCATCTCATGTAACGTCTATACCGACCATAAACTTTTACCTATACTGTATGGTGTTTATGTGTAACTTTTTTTTTGTCGACTGTTTCAAACCTCGTATTTCGATTTTATTTTACTTATTTATTATTATTTTTTTTTTTGAGTTTTCTTATTATATGCATCTGATAAGACCGATTTAAACATCCATAAATTTTATTAGCGTATTTGGGTGCACTCTACTTATCGCGATTAATACACCCCTTCATTCTATCTAAAACACGAATCGATGTTCTACTATATATTAGAGTGCATGATATAACTTAAATGTAACAAAAATATTGCTTCCCTCATATATCCCTCTGCATCTACCAATAAATAGTCATGTTGAAATTATTCAGGTTTTGAAACTATCTTGCCATCGAGATGCCAAGATTTGATTTCACCACTAGTGCGTCTGTGTATCTGCTTATACGTATTTCGCCCTAATAGGGCTCGTCAGAACAGCTATTCACAGTCGTTCTGAACGTGAAAATAAATCTTTTCTGTCTTAGAAAGCAACTCTAACATGGCTTCGTATAGACGCAAATAGCGACATCTGATATTAAAATCTTGACTGTCTTTTTCTTTTTATTCCGATATACTCTGTACGAGTACAAGAAACCAACTCGATAAGGATTTTTGCTTAGTTGAGGAGATATGTCATGGAATGCAAATTTTAGATTCCCCATGTCTCTAATAACATCTTTATCAACGTCTGTTTTGCCTTGCAATTCTTAGAAGGCACAGATTAAAGCAAAAATCTGAATTTGGTTTCGAAAATTAGTTTACGGATTTTACTAGTAAATGTATTTATAAAAGTGATTTTTATCAAATATCTATTAGAATATCATCAATAACTTATTATTAATCAAGTTTGTTTTCAGATAATTCTGCTCCTTCAACGTCGCGACGACCAGATGCGCGTTTACCTACGACTTACATAGATATATCGGATAGTTCTCTTAAGGACCAGTGCGATTTCGTTCGGGAAACTGCATTAGATTGTGGAATAATTTTACGATCTGAAGAAATTTCAGATGGTGTAATTATGAATGGAGCAGCAAGAATGATGCTGGAGGCTGTGAAATGTTTGGCAGAGGGTTTAATCAGGAGGTCCAATCATCATTTAGTTTGTAGGAAAGATTACAGGTAATAGTTTTTTTTGTGATATATTTGGTCTTCTTCTTGTCGTGTCTATCCGTTACCGATGTTGGACACATGACTATTGTGATTTTATTGACTGTTGCTTGAAAAAGATGTGTTTCGAAAAAGCCACATCTCTATTAATTTCACAAAATGAATTAACTTCGCCATTTTAATATCCTTCAGGCTTTATTGCACGTGAAAACGCCACATCTCCGCTGTTCGTTACTACTAATCTTGACAGGCGTATTTTTTTGTTTATTTTTATTTTGTTTTGGTAGTGCAGGCCAAAAAAGTACCACACGGTAATAAGATTCCTTTTAGCTCTTGCTTCGTCAGGAAAATTCAATCACATTTTTCATTATTTTCCAATCAGAGACCACTCATTCCTCCCGTGCGATAGAGATTTCGGGGTAGCAAAAAGACTCATTCGCAAGCAGGACCGAATGTTTCTTCGTGGAGAATATAACGAATTGATAAAAAAATTGTCAAGAAAATCTATTTTTTCTCAGAACTGGTAAAAAATAAAACAATTTTGGAATTCAAAAAATGGTGGCCTATGCATTATAAGAAAACCGTACTCTCCATTGACTCCTATGGGAAAAAAACCAAACATCAAAAAACAACTTTTCAAATTTCTCAAGAAAAAATTCCTATTAATTCGAAAAAAATGGACATCAAGAAACTTGTACAATATGTGCCAGAAGACAAAATGTTTTTTTTTTATATAATGAGCTGATTTTATGGTCTACCACTAATAGTAATGAACCACCAGAGGAAGATTACTAAAAGACTATTTCTTAACCTTCAACATGTTTTTTGCCACCCAATATTTTTTTCCTGAATAATATTGGAGTTTTCTATTATTAATCATAAAATCATCAGTGTTTGTTTGGAAAAGGCCACAACTCCAAAAACTAAATTATTTTTTACAGTGTACCTATGCCTTTTTATGTTGTATTTTTTAATAAAACTTCGTCATGCATCACATTTTGAGACTTTACTCCGAAAAGAGAAAGATATCTTCATTAATACCAAAATGAAACGTTTTTTTCGTTTCCTATAAAATTAACATGTCTGAAGTTGTGGCCTTTTCGAAATAACCAATTCAGGATGTTTTTATTTCTTAATGTCTTCCTATATTTAATAGTTTTAGAGATATATCAATTGTCGTGTAAAAATGGGTATTCCATGAATTAAATTTATTATTTTTATTCACTTTACTATTTGCAAATATCTTAGCAAAAAATTAAATAAAGAAATTGTTATTTGTTGAAAATCATGTGGCTGTAACAGTTCGTTGCTTTTGTAGTCCTTTTTAATTCGATAGGGCTTGAACTTATTTCGATTTTCATTGAAATTTGGTTGTAAAGTCTAACAAGACGCCTAAGAGACTTATTAATATTTAGCTTAGCGTGATGCTATTGTTAGAGCTGTGAAATTACATAAACAAGGAATCATTTCATAAAAGATGGAGATCTCTTGTTTATAAAATTTCACCCAACGGACCAGTAACACCTCGCTGAGCTGAATATTCATGACTCTCTTAAATATTTAACTATAACTTTAGTTATAACTAGACTATAACTTTTTATAACATAAAACAACTTTATAATCTTGTAATGAGGAGGTGAAGAGGATTTTATCAATAGAGAGAAAGGCTACTTATCGCCCATCTTACCTTCAATCTAGAACCAATTTCTTCACTATCCTCTAAATTGCGTTAACAGACGCGACGCGTGGATATCTCATCATCCGAAGCAACACGACGATAATCGAAGATCCGTACGATCACTATATAAATGTCATTGATAATTCAGATATTTTTATAAACCATTTTGTAATTTAAATTTTTTTAATCTTTATTTGGGTTTTTATTGTTGATTCCATATTATAATTCATAATTTTTTATTACTTCATAGTAAATAACGTCTTTTTGTTTCAGGGGAGGCTTCAGTGAAGTTACCGCTAATGAAGTAAAAATTGCCTTACAAGAACGGTCTGAAATAATGTCCATAAATCAATTCGCTGTCAAGAAGCGAGAAATAGAATTTTATTCGTAACCGTTCAAAGACTGTTGAAAACGTTTAAAGCAAAAATTTATTTGTATCATTATATATGATGTATTTATTTGTATTTTGTTTTCCTATATATATATTAAATTTTTTTATTAAACCTTAATTTTTTTGCTTTCTACCTTATTTCCGACGCAGATGAGGAGTAAACTTTAAGCTCCAGGACTATTTAAATGGCTTGTTAACGTCACAATGAAGCGCAATACGATTGGCAGCATTGTTTACACAGACTCATCCGAAACTCTACCGGTTTTCCCGATTCGCAATTGTTTCCAATTTGCAATTCTAATTGTTTTTGTAAATTAGTAGTGAACATACGGAATTATAAATAACTGGCACAAGCATGGGACGACCTACACTGTCTACAAAAAAAAAAAGAGCCAAAGAAAGAGTCGCCCTGTTAGTACACAGAAAATCTTTACCCCAAGTACAAGAATGTAAATATACCTCTGAAAGAATAGTAAGTGTAAAAGTTAAACTGGATGTCAAACCTCTGAATGTGATAGCAATCTATGAACGAGAACAACAGAGATACCACCACAAGGGAAAACGTTTACGCACACCTTCAGACTGTAATAAACGAGGCCCCAAACGATGAATATTTAATCATTATAGGTGATTTTAACGCCAGTGTTGGCAATGATATAGTTCCAGGAATAAAACAGCGATATAATGAAAATATCAGAAATGAAAACGGAGACCTTCTGACGGACCTACGCAGCATAAACGAAATACGTATTAATAATACATTTTTCCCTCACAAAGAACAATACAAATACACTTTTGAAAACAGTAGAGAACAAAGATCTATGATAGGCTATATTATGTCGAATAGAGAGTTACAACCCTCTCAAATCTTAGATGTAAATAAATAGGAAGCGATCATAAATTGGTATTGTGCAAAATCCGAATGAAAACAAATATATGTGATAACAAAACACTAGAATACACCACAAAGATAAAAGTCAAAAGCTTACAGGATTACTCTACAAAATACCGATTCCAAAAAAGAATAACCGAAAAAAGCAGAAATACATATATCACAGAAAGTGATGGAGTCGAAGAAAGCTGGACAAAAATTAAGTCTAATATCTTAACCTCGGCCAAGAAAGTTCTTGGTGAAAGAAATATAAATAAAAATAAATAGTTCCCAAGGCCAAGAACTCCGTGGTTTTGTAGTGAAGTGAACAATGTAAAGAAAAGAAAAAAGCTTACCTGAAATACATGTCAACCAAAACACAAGAGGCATACCATAATTACAAGACAATTAGAAACAAAACACATCCACTTGGAAGAAAAATAAAAAAGGAACTAATAGAACCAAACCACATAGAAAGGGACACGTGGATTAACTACATAAAAAAGCTCTATGCAGAGGAAGAACAAACGACGCTGTAACCGGAAACACCAGAAATTACCACAAATGAAAGATTAATGAACACAATGAAAGAAAGTTAATATAAATGTACGGGAAGTTCAGAAAATATTTGAAAACCTGAAGAACAGAAAAGCACCAGGTAAAGACGGGATACCAAACGAATTCCTAAAATATTGTGGAACAGTAATGACGGAACAATTAACAACATTAATTAATAAAACACAATAAAATACCGGAAGAATGGAGAACGAGCGAACTAATTCTACTATTCAAAAAAGGAGATAAAAAACAGCCAGACAACTACAGAGGTATAAACTTGTTAAATACTACGCTAAAACTTACAACTAAAATTTTACAAGTGCTAATAAACCAGAGGATGTTTAGCTGATGACAATAGGGTTTTCGTAGGGGAAGATCGTGTACAGATACAATATTCGAGAAATCACTAGAGTATAATAGACCAGCATTTCTTTGTCTGATTGACCTAAAGAAAGCGTTTGACAGAGTAAGACTCAAAGATGTAATCCATCTTCTGTATAATAGAGAAGTTCCCCTAAATATTATAAAACGATCGAAAACTTCTACCAAAACAACAAAATGGAAATCAGAATAGATGGACAACTTACAGAACCTACAGAAATAGGCAGCGGAATAAGACAAGGAGGTTCAATGAGCCCCATGCTCTTCAATTTGATTATGAAATCATCAAAAGTATTAACAAAGGAAGAGGATACAGAATGGATGACAAAGAAATATAAATACTCTGTTACGCAGACGACGCAATATTGATAGCCCAATCCTGGAGACCTGAAGAAAGAAGTGAGAGATCAAGTACAAAAAGCAAACAGACTGGCGAAATCACTGTATGGCAAAACAGACACATTAACATTGAGATGAAGTCAAAATTTATACAGCCAGTGTAAAACCAATGATACATATGCCTCAGAAACAAGACCCAACACAGCCACAACGCAAAAGCTACTGGAAACGGCAGAGATGAGAGTACTGAAAAGAATTATAGGAAATACGCTGAGAGATCGAAAGAGAATTGAAGACATTAGAAAAAAATGTAACGTACAGTGTATAAATGAATGGATACAAAATAGAAAAAAAGAATTTAATAACCACATAAGCAGAGAATGGAGGAGAACCGTGTCGTCAAAATAGCAAAGATAAGTCGCCAATCAGCAGAAGAAGTATCAGAGGACCGCGCAAAAGATGGAGTGACAACCTTCCACAGAGGTATTAATCCGCCAATGAAAAAGCAGAATTGCTCATAAAGAGGAAGAATAAGAAGAAGCATGGCACTACTGCCGTACTGATCATCCCACTACACAGAAGGGAGATTAACTTAAATGCAAAAATTATTGGGCAATAACATTGATGAATATAGCCTACAAGATATGTACTATCAAAAAGCGTATACGAGAGACTAAGACCAAATGTGCAACAACTAGTTGGGCAATAACATTGATGAATAAATCGGCAAGGGAATCTAAAATTGCATTCCAAATGCCGTTCATTTTGACCATGATGAACGGCATTTGGAATGCAATCTTAGATTCCCTTGCCGATTTATTCATCAAGCTGTTTGCTTTGCAAGTTTTAGAAAGCGCGTTGGTTGAGATTTGAATTCGATTTGGCGAGGTAGAAATCGTATGATTTCTATTTATAGATATAGAGATTTATAGATCTGTTCTTAGATGGCGTAGTTACGTCTGTACATAGTTATTTTTGATAACTATGATCTACGACGGGAAAAGATTTTGTTTCGACACGGATACGGTAGTGGCTATACCGTCGTACTGAGGAGACCTAAAGAGGTCGAAATACGTATATGCGGCTTGTGCAAAATATAATACCGTCATTATGATATATTTTGAAATTGTATACTGAAACTGTATAGTATATACGACTAGTCATTGTGATTAATTATTTTTTAATTATATAAATAACGTGTACTCTGGGTTTCATAATTAATAGGAACAAGTTTACAAAAAACTATTCCGAGTTGCACATATTTTAAAATTGTATCGAATATTTATAGGTAAGCACTAATTGTGATAATTTGTTAATCTGATTAATATTAAAAAAATATATTTTTATATGGTTGTAAAGTTAATAAAAACAAATTTATAAATAATCTGAAGAACTGTACTTTTTAGATATTCTGAAATTGGGTTCTGATATATCTAATTTGTACTATAAGGGATGTATGTAATACTTACCAAAAGAAGATGAGCGATGGCAAACAAGGAGGGACTGTTAAATGTACTTACATCTTTTTTCACTCCCAATTTGGAAACGTACGAAAAATATTGTTCATAATTTCACATTAGAGTTATAATCTCACAGAGTTATAGTTCATAATTTCACATAAAGAAATTAGAGTTAGAATAGAAAAGGCTAGAAGAGCATACAATAATATGAAACAAATATTATGTTGTAGAGACCTCAGCCTAAATCTTGGACGAGTACTAAAATGTAATGTATTTTTTATTATTTTGTATGATGTGGAGTCATGGACTTTAAATAAATAATGTCTCAATAAATTGGAAACATTTAAAATGTGGACATGTTGAAGAATGCTGAAAATCTCCTGCACAGACATAATAACCAATGAAGAAGGACCAAGAAAAATAGTGAACACCAGGGAGATAATGGATTCCATAAAAATAAGAAAACTACAATATTTGGATCATAAAATACGTGGTGACAGATATTAATTCCTGAAAATAATAAAGCAAGGAAAGATTCGAGGAAAGCGCAACATAGGTAGAAGAAGACGCTGTGGCTGAGAAACCTCAGAGAATGGTTTGGATGCAGCTTAACTTTGGGCTGTAACGTCAAAAGTTAGAATAACAGTGATGAAAGAAGAATTTCACAGCATAGCTATTTTAGATCAAGAACTAGTAACTATAGCTAATATTATCTTATTAAAATATTTTAAACTTTTTTATTTCATATACAGTTTATGCAATTTTCTTTCATACTTATAGAAACAATTGCCATGACACAAGGATATTGGAATAATAACGACGATTGTACTTCTTTTTTTATTTTTTTATAACCGTATTAGTAGTAAATAATATGTACAAACTTATCCTATTTATAACAAAATATTTAAAGTATCTATAAATTTGCACAACAAAGCATAAATGTTGCCATATCAATTCTAATGAACAATTTCAGATAAAATTCCTTTCAACAAATATTTACACCAAATTTTAATTAAAATCAGTAGTTCATAAAATAGAAACAATTATTCTTTATTATAACATCATAATATTTCTAGCAAATGACAGTTCACTCATTTCTTAAAGAGATATTTTAGATTCACTTAGTCTTTGATATTTTAAGCATACAAAATATTTTCATAAAATATCAAATTACTTTATAACTGGTAACGGAGAAATAGGGCTATGGCTATTAGATATTAATGATAATTTTTACTTATAACTTAATATCTAAACATTTAAAATAATATAATTCATGCTAAAACAAAACAAATCAAAATATTACTAAAATAATAGTACAAAAATGAGTGCTATGATTGCGTTACAATATGCTAAAAACAATAAACAAAGTAAAAACAACTAAAATGGATGAAGTTACTAAAAAGAAATCAAGATAGAAAATCAATAAGACGACTAAAGAGCCAAATTTGATAGACAAATATCGAAGAATACAATCATTTACTATCCTTATATTATTACTCATA